AATTAGGCGTGCACCCAAAAAATTGGAAGATTTGAACCAAAAATGAAGGCAGGGCCCCCCCCCCCCTACATCAAATGTGCCAACTCCACCATCCCCTTTGCTGTCCTTCGTAAAAAAAAATTTTTTTAAATGAAAATCGTTATTATATCGACAGGTAAATAGAAAATAATGCTTAAATATAAAAATATTTTTGGTTAAAATCCCGCCTACCTAGTAAGCAATGATCCTAATTGAAAAATATAAAAAGAAATTTAATCTAAAAAGGACTTTTCATTGAGAATTGTCAAGGAGTATATTGAAATATAACCCTGTTACATGAAAAATCTGAACATTTTATCACCATTTTTCTTAACCAAATTGTTTTAGAGCTTGTCATATTGGTTTGGAGGGAGAAAGAGTAATGAAATGCAAGATGAGCTGCATACAAAGCATGGACTGTGGCAAGCACAAGTGCAGTAAAACGTGCGGAGAGCATCACACCCATGCCAATTGTCGTGCACAGGTTGATGTTGAGATGCCTTGCAAACATTTGATGAAGAAATCATGCTTCCAAGACATGCTGGAGCTCACATGCACTCAGAAGGTTCTGAAGACATTCCCGGAGTGCAAGCATTCGAAGAAGCTTGAATGCTTTAAGAGGATCGAAGATTTGAAATGCACGGAAGAAGTTAAAGTTACCCGGCAGGGTTGCGAACACAAAACTGTTAAACCTTGCTGTGAGGATCCCTCCTCAACTCCTTGTGAAAAGGAGTGCAAAAAGGTGCTCTCCTGCAAGCATGCTTGTTTAAGGAAATGTGGAGAAGACTGTTCAGACTGTAAAACCTGTGTTGAAATCCAGAAAAATCGGGATAAGGAAAAAAGAAAAGAAATTGAGAAAAAAATCGTTGAGATAAAGAATGAAATGCGCCGAAGTAAAGATAACAACAGAGCATTCAGTCTGGAGGTCACAGATCAATCCGAGTTTGATACTGTGAAAGGTCAGGTCATAAACTACATTGTACCAGACCATAATTGGTTTCCCATTATAACTAAGATCGAGCGGGTAACAAACCCCAAACTTGAACTAGCGTTCAATGAGGCTAAACTAGAACTACATGATCCGCACCGACCTGAAGATCGTAAGTTTCACGGTACCGGAGATGATGGAGTGAAGAACATTTGCTTTGGAGATGGTTTCAGGCTTCCAGAAGCAAGCAGAAACAATATGTTTGGTCAAGGAGTTTATTTCTCCAGTATTTCTTCTAAATCTGCTCGGGAACTTTACACCAAGGGTAGTCATAAACTTCTTCTGTGCAAGGTTCTGCTTGGTAAATCCTTGAAAGCTACCCGAGCCATGAATGAGCTGACTCCAGCTAAGATGAAGAAGGATGGATATGACTCTCTATATGCCCCAGCAGGTCGACTTGTCAAGAATGATGAGTTTGTTATTTACAATCCTAACCAAGCAATCCCAGCTTATATAATCCACTTTGTGAAGGGGGATATCTCCAATATACAAACTAAGCTGCCTATGCTGAGTAGTTCAGGGTTTAAGAAGACCCCTAGGTTGCCTAAGAGAACCATGGATATGAACGATCCTTACGATATCCACTACTCCCTGGCAGAGGGTAGATTCTACCGATTACAGACTGGAAAGCAGATGAATGTTGTTAAGATTGATATTATAGAGAATCCTGTTCTAGAGGCCAAGTTCAGTGCTAAGCAAGCAGAGTTTAAGAGTAAAGGAATCCCATCTGATCCTGTTTTTGGATTTCACGGGACAGCAGCAGCAAATATTGATTCTATACTTCAGAATAATTTTGATCTGAGTAAGGTTAAGGTTTATGCCCATGGTTTCGGAATTTACTTCTCTGAACGGCCTGAAGTTAGTCAAGGATATAACAGGGATAATAAGTCATTTATCCTTTGTAAGCTTCTGATTGGAAAGCCAGGAATCAACAGCAAGGTAATTAATTCATTACTTTCTTTCCGTCAAACTGTATTTAATCTTTCAGAAATTCATGTTCTTTTATTCTTGTAATAATTGTAATAATTTTAATAATTAATATTCTTGCTTTCTGTCTGATCCTTTCCCGTTAATGATAAAAATGCATCCCAGTTGGTTTCTTCGGTTTCAACAATTTGGCCAAACTTTTGTTGTTTAAGATAGAGTTCATTTTGCAGTGGTTTTAGTAAAAATCTAAAATGCTTGTAAAATTGAAAATTCACCATCCATACAAATAAGCAGAAAAGTTTGCTTATTTGTTTAAATAAAAAATCAGTATTTCAGGGGAAATCAGTTCCAAGACTAACACGGCCCATTTCTAACACTGTTAGAAATGGGTCAAATCTGCAAATTTATATTTTTCAATAGTAAATATCTTCACATACAAGCCGAGTAGAACAAAACTTCACCAAATATTAATCAGAAACGGCTAAAACTATAAATTGAAACAATAAATGTCAACTTTAAACTATTGTCCACTGAAATTACAAATCTCAAGAAAAAAGATAAGTTTAATCCAGTTTTGATTCCAGCATTCCTTCCGATTAAGTTTTTTAATTACCCCAAATCCCCCTCTCCTTCCCGTTCAAATGAAAATAGCAAAAATCTGCGAAATCTTTAATTGTTCATTTTATAATGTAGAAAAAATAGTTCTTGAAAATGACATTTAAAAGCCTAACGCAAAGCTAGATATTTTAATGTAAAGACAAAATCTAAAGAATTGTTTTATCTTTAGACGATGTATTCCTGTATTCTGATTGATTTTTTACGTTTTAAATTAAGTTTAATTTAGGAGGTAAATAAAGATGCCCTAGACCGATTTTGGGCAATAGTGATTGGCCAAACCAATGGAGTTACCGATCCTTCGAGCATGGATCAGATCTTACCATCATACGTGATCCACTACCAGTAGAGTGGAGTAAACGATCCTTCGAGCATGGATCAGATCCTACTACCAGTACGATTTCAACTTAAAAACTTATCCTGAAAATTTTCAAAATATTGTATTCTTTTTTGTTAGCGTAATCAAGCTATATGCGCATTTGTTCTGGACATCTTATTCGAACTCGATTTATCATTAAACAATAAAATACATTGTCCAGTTAAGGTCAAAATAGTATCCTTTTTTTACTTTTTCACATTTTTGATTTAAAAGAGTATGCTTTGAAAACTATGTAAGCAAAACCTTAAAAAAATAATGTCCATGATAATATGATTAAAGTGTTTTGTAATTTTGTAAGTTGAATCGCAAGAATCTAGATTTACAGTCAAAATGTTTAGATTTATTTTTTAAAGCATTTCAACTTTTCTTAATATTTGTAATATATTTTTTGATTAAAAGCTTTTTGAGATATTCGATTAGAGAGATAGTGAGGGAACTGCCAGCCACAATGAGCCTCTACTATAAAGTAGCGAGCCTTTCTTTGATGGACTGTCGAGATTTTTTTCTTGTAAACCTTAGAGTTTATCATTTGAACCATTGAGTTTTTCATTTAAGCCTAAGAGTCTTATGGAGTTAAGCATCTATACAATGGAGTCAAATCAACATTGGACTCTTATCACCTTTGAGCTTAACATCCTAACCATGGAATTTTTCTTCTAAATCTTTAAATTAATCATCTAAACCTAGGAGTTTATCACTAGAACTATGGGTTTCATTGGTTAAACCTTGGAGGTTATCCACTAAATCATAGTTTTTCCTTTAAACTCGGGAACCACTCGAGTTTATCATCTAACCCGTGGAGTTTATCCCCTGATTCATGGATTTTTCATCTAAACCTTGGAGTTTATCACTTTAACCACGGATTAAACCAAAGAGTTAATCATTTTAATCTTGAGAGTATATTACCCTAACCATGGAATTTACAGGTGCGAGAACATGTTATGAAATTTTCAAGAGCAAAATATTATTTACAAAACATTTCTTAAAAAAAGGTAAAGTAAGGTCATTATGGCTGAAAGAATGAACACTTTTTGTTAGTTCCGCGCGAGCAAAGCGAGTTAGGGTCAATGTTATTTCTTTCCAAAACTGTTGAGAAAGTTCCTTGTAATTTAAAAACGTGATGAGTAAAATAAAATGGCGCGTAGATGATTTTTGTTAAGGTGATTTGGGCGTCCCAAGAAAATAAGGGCGGACATGGGGGGCGTTGTATCTTCGCACCCTCTGACGAATTCGGGGGGGGGGACTGCCCTCCCCCCCATGAGATTTTGAGCAGATACGTACTAAATATTAGGAACAAAAACAGTGAAGTTTAGGATTTTAGGAACAAGGTTAACAAAAAATATAAATGAACATATTATAGGTTTAGAAAGGAACAATACAATAACACAAATGTCGGGCGAGTTAGAAACAAGAAAGGAACAACTAGATTAGGAACATTGACTATTGGGCCTGTTACGTGAGCCATGCTGCGTGTATGAAGTCTATGTGGTGCCCCTGTGAATTCCTGAGTTCTTCCTGCGGATCTGTACAGAACGTATTGTGAAAAACTAGTTTTAGAAGCTGTTTACAGACTGACTACGCAGGCGCAAGTTTTCTCGCGTGGAAGCGGGCAGTTTCTATCTTAGTATATATTTATTTGTCTTACAAGTTCGTCTATTATTAACCGTGCTAAGAATTCTAGGATCACTGCGGTAATTATTCCTTATATATATGTATGCATATCGTTTGTTTATGTTATGGTTGATATTTATAAATGTGTTTTGTTGGTTCCTTGCCACAGTTTTTTAATGCCTGAGTTGATTTATTTGTTGTATTCGTATGATTTATCACTCAAAGCTTTTTCTGTGGGTTTGGAACATTAATAGCAAGTTACAAGTTCATTTAGGAATAGGAACATTAATAGCAAGTTACAAGTTCATTTAGGAATAGGAACATTAATAGCAAGTTTCAAGTTCATTTAGGAATAGGAACATTAATAGCAAGTTACAAGTTCATTTAATATTTTTATTCAACTTCAAAGCACGAGATAATACAAATAAAAAATCACAATTTACTATGTAGTTTGGACCTGCCAAACCAGAGTTGGTTGTTTTGATTGGTTGGCCCATTATAAGGGAATAAGAATTGTAAATAAATAGATGGATGTACACTGTACAGTGTACATTTTAAACAAAACAATGATGATAAATCATGAATAAGGTAAGGAGGAGGTAAAAAAGTATAAGGGAAAGGGTGGGTACTCAGCGGAAGGGTTGTAACAGAGGGTAACATATATTATAAAAATCATGTTTATGAATTACAGGGTGAAGAAGATAGCAAAGACTAAGTTTAACCACATGAAAAAAAGTTATTCTTATTACAGATATAACTTGCATAACTATCTAAATAGTTTTTGAAGATTTTCTTTTAAGCAGCTTTGCAGATTTAGTTTCTTTAAGCGCTAATTCAATCGAATTCCATAATTTTGGAAATAAAGTGGGTAGAAAACTATTCTAGCGTTTTATAAAGAACCTCCTCAAGTTTATATGATTTTGTTCTATTTGGTTCAGCTAAAGAATTAAACATATCCTGGAAGGAAGCTGGAAGGTTTTCATAAAAGTATTTATACATAAAAGATAGAACACCTAGTTTATATGTATCAAGATTTAGGAGTTCTAATCTGAAGAATATTGGATCTGAATGTGCTGTAAACGAACTATTATTGTTGACTTTAAAAGTCACTATAATAAAATAAAAGAGATCTAAATGGATATTTCTAACATTTATTTAATAAAACGAAAGTTTTGAAATAATTGCATTTAAAGCGGAGTTAAAATTGGTTGATTTAGAAATCAACAAAGGAATTAATGATGGATATTAGATGGCGCTTCATGGAAGTGTTGTAGAGCTTCAAGTTGGTGGAGCAGATCTGGGAACTGGGACGACAGGGCTTATCAATGGAACTAAGGCAATGCAACTCGAGATAGCGGAAACTTTGGTCAGAGTCGTGCTCAAGTTTCCTAAGTAAGCTTCTCAAGAAGTTAATAGGGAGATCAGAGGTATAAGCACGCCTGCTGTTAGTTCAGGATCTGCATCATCAGCCTGAAGGAGTCATGGGGGGTGATGTAGAGCTTCATGTTGGTGGGGCAGATCAACAGGTGCGTTGCGCTGAGTATCTGCATCATCATCATGAAGGAGCCAGGGTTGAGATGGAGTTGTGAATGTCTTGAGTGTTTTTTGCTGACTGAATACCGGGAGGTGTAGAGAGGTGAGGAGCGAAGGTTACATGTGTGGTGTGCTTCATGGAGGAAATGGATCCTGTGTACACACACATCTAGAGAATTAACATCGGCATTTGAGTCGGTGAAATCGTCTTCCTTATATTTAGAATTTATTTTAACAATTATTTACTGCTCTAATTACCCTTTTTTTCAAAGATTTGATTTTCTGTAGTTTAGCATTTTTTACGCCCCCCCCCCTTGTTATAATTCCATACTCCGTTGTCTCACAAGTGCATTATAAACTAGTAGGCGAATGTTTAATGGTAAAATGTTTTTAATCTGATTCAGAGCAAAAATTGAGCTAGCAATCTTATTTGAAATATGTTCTGTTTGATAGTCCCAATTTAAGAATTCATTAATTTTGAGTCCAACAAATTTAACATATTTATTTGTACAGTCAGGATCTCATTTCCAATTTTTAATTTGCATTTCTTAGGATCAAAATGCATATTTTTATTCCTAAATATCATAAACTTTGTTTTAGAGACATTTAATGTTAAACGGTTTGCCTGAAACCATGCAGCTGCCTTTTTTAGTTCAAAGTTGGCATCAATTAATAAAGTTAGGAATAAAAATAGAAGAACTAGGAATTAGGGGGAAAAAATAAAAAAAAAACTAGGAACGTAATTCGTAAAACATGAAATAATCATCAGTACATGAAGGAACATCCTACAGGTTTATTAAGAAACAAACAAAAATCATACACATATGCGCATTATGTAAGAAACGTCATTCATGTTGTATATGAATTTGGAACAATAGTCAATAAAAGGAACATAAAGCAAGTTAAGGAATAAAAAAAATACTAGGAAAGTTATACGCATGTAAATTAGGAACAATATTGCAATGTTGATTAAGGATTAAGGCCGGTGTCATGCCTGCAGAGAACTCGTACCTGCAGCGAACTCTGTTATGCACGCCGGCAAAGCGGAAGTTTCTTGAAATGTAAACAAACAAGAATAATTTAATTTATTTGAGTTTACGGCTAATTTTCTGCAATTGATCCATCGTTTTGACGCATAACATCACTGGGGTCTGTCCTAGAAAACACTTTTTGACCCTTATAAGATTTTATACATATAAATAAAAACATAGCTTAAATGTACTATAGTGCGCGCTTCTAGAGGTACAATGTCCACAAATGGGGGGGGTCGTCAATTGAACATTTTTTTCTATACTGATAGAATTGAGGTTTTTTAAAACTAAAAGACTAAACAAATCCGTTCCATAAATTCAAGTGTTTGTTTATGTTTAAAGAATCTTGCGCTTTGCCGCGTAGCATAACCAGAGTTTGCTGCAGGTACGAGTTCTCTCCAGGCATCACACCTGGCCATATCTTACGTGACACCGGAACATGACTGCATGCGTCAGATAGGAAAAATATTATAATATGCCTTTCCCAGGCGCGTATCCAGGGAGGAGTACAAGTGGTCATGTGCACCCCCCTTTCTTCTAAAAGGGGGGGGTGCAAAGGCGAATGTGCACCCCCCTTTAAATAAGTTGTTTGGCATAATCTTCTCTTGAAAAATTATTATCATTCTGTATAGAGTGTAACCAACCAAATAAAACCTTTTTGAAAAATATCCTGAGGATTTTCTGATCGAACTGGTTTGTTGTTCTTTCGCATATGTCGATAAACAGACTGTCAGACATACATGATACAATATAGTAACAAAACAATAAACAATATGTTCCAGTAAAAAATTCAATTCCTTGAGTTTTGCAGAAACTTAAATTGCCTTAGTTTCAACCTTTTGTCCAGATAATTCAAAATCAGTGAACGTGAGTAGTAATATCAAAATAATTAACATTTAGTGTCATCCAACATTGTAAAATTTGAGATAAAAGCTATGACAATTTTCTGTGTACCATAATTAACACCAAATTCAAGGAAAATCGAATTTTCACTGTAACATTCAGTTCAAGCTAAACTTGTTTATGTTGAAAAATAAAATAAAAATAATCTACACAACATAAAATTTAAGGTAAAATTACTAGTTTTCCTACCAAAACTACAAAAATTATCTACTATGGGGGGCTCTGCCCACCTTGCAACCTCCCGCCTCGCTCACTACGTTTCACTCGGTTATCCTGGGCCAGTATTAAAATACCTCTACTTCTTTTGTTCCTATTTGGAAATCCTGTGTCTACCCCTGCAAGAAATGGCCTATATGGCTACCAAAAAGGAGTTGATAATATTTCAAAAAAGGTCGGTTTAAGATCCAATAGATATCCAACGAGGGGAGGAACGTCGGCCACAACAATTTTTCGTCCGAGCCCCATTCTTCTCATTTTCGGCTCAGTAACATTTCGCCTAGTACATGTTCGCCTACTAACTTTTTGCCTAGATACCATTTTGCCGAGACACAGTTTGCCTAGATAACATTAAAAGGTAATTTTCGCCTTGATAAATAAACTAATTTTTATTCAAAAATTTCTAAAGTTCCTCTTTTTTCTCAAGAAATTCAATTAAAAGCAAAAAATGTATTATAATAATGTTTACAAATTTTTTCTTAAAGGGCACTAGCTCGCTGGAGATCATGAGCCAGCATTTTCAGATAATCAGTTTTAGGCATTGTAGCAAAAGCTTCTACCATCTGTTTTGCATCCTTGGCTCTCTGCTTTCTGCCTGTATTATCAGCCATATCCTGGCCAACTGAATTAGAAAGAAATGCTTGTCTTGCATCAGCATCTTGTTTGACAAACTGGTCCTGAATGTGCCAAACATTTGAAATGTACCCAGACAATAAATTTCAGGTACGATTAAAGGATTCCAGCATATTGTTTGCTTCCATTCCATCCTCTAAAACTGTGCTGTACTGGTTCCAAAGACAGGGCGGGAACAGTGCTCTCCTCCCACCCCGTTTTTCAATCCAAGTCTGTGAATAGTAGTACCCAAAACGATAATTGTGAAATTTTTACAGTAAAAATTGCGTATTTTTTTTGTTCCAAAAACTGGTTAAATATAATTTGAAGAATCTTAATCTAGGCGAAAATTACTCTCTAATGTTATCTAGGCAAAATGTTATCTAGGCGAAATGTTGTCTAGGCAAACTGTGTCTAGGCAAAATGTTGTCTAGGCGAACTTGAACTAGGCGAACATGTACTAGGCGAACTTGTACTAGGCAAAATGTTACTGAGCCTCATTTTCTCATCCTTGCTACCTTGGAATCCTAGTCCTTCGAATATTTTGTGTTAAAAAGTTTCCAATTCTTTAAGATAAAACTATTTCTTAAAAAAGGATTAGACACTAAAAAAATAATATTGAAAGGAAGAGGATTTCGGGGTGGCTCGGACGAGAAATTGTTGTGGTTGGCCTTCCTCCCCTCCCTCTCAGAAGGGTTAGAAACCATGAGTACTCTGTATTGATCTGAATTGATCTGAACATCAGGAGACCTGAACACCCAAATATGTTTTTAGATTTCTGGATTATTTTACTTAAACTCACTTCAGGTTCAGGTCAGCTATGACAGAGATATGTTAAAAATATTAAGAAAACATTAGATGATTAAACTTCTTTTTCCACAAGAAAAAGATAAAAGAAACTGAACAAGGATGGATTTAGTACAGACTATGAAGATGATAAATTATGTTCAATAATATATTTGGTTGCATCAAATATGAAACTGCTTTCATGACAAAAATATCTTAGTATGCGATACAATACAATAATTTGACATGTTCTACACTCACGATATTAGGACTTCTCCTCATCATTCGTTTTTTCCTCTCCTCCTATGTATACTCCTCCTCCTCATTTGTTTTCTCCTCCTCCTCAATCAATTTCTCTCCTCCTTGTTTGTTTTCTTCTTGTCCTCATCCATTTGTTTATTTATCCTAGCCACAGCGTTCTTGACACTGTGATAGATAATATTCTTGATTTGGAGTTTATCTTCATGATTAGTATGATGTTCAGTCAGATGCCGGAATTCCTATACAAACATTTATCAGAAATTCAAATAATTATATAATTTTTTCTGGACTTTAATGCTGATATTTTAGTTAGTTAAAAATTTGAACTTTTTGTTTAAAACAAAAAAAAAGACAATTTCCAAAATAATTTTTTCTCAAATTACATTTTAAAAAAATTTTTTGCAATTTTTATTTCTAGCTTTAACCCCCCCCCCAAAAAAAAAAAATTAGAAAATGAAACAAGTTTTTTCTTCCAAACATTAACCTATGTAAAAAATTTCAGTCAAATCGGAGAGGGTCATTTCTGGAGGGAGCCCGTTATGTTTAGGAATGACCCTTTATTTATTATCCACCATGTTGCCACGATATGGGGTGCATGATCATCCATTATAAAATTCAAAATCCGATTATTTCTTAGAATAGGTTTACTATAATGGGGGTTTTACAATTTCCGCATAACTACACGCGGGCACCCCGTTGGTCCCAGGTCCCTGTCTGATTTAAACCCCAACCTGAGTAAGATGCAAGCAGTTGTTTGCTAACTCCGGAGAAACAAAATCCTCCGCAATCTTGATACAGTTGTGAAGGTTCCGAACCTGATGACAGGCTCCAGCTGGGATAAACACGGTATCACCTAATATAGGAATTCTGTAGGTTCTAATAGAAATATTGAAGAACTAGGCATTGAGGGGGCTTCGCGCCCATCTTCTTTTTCAATTGTGAACATTTATTTTCTTTTTGTATACACTGTAAAACAATATACAAAAAGTTCGCGAATTTTATAAAAAAAATGTCGTGTATTTTCAAAATTTAATTAAAATCAAATTTTGTTGGAGGCTAATTTTTCAAATTTTAATCATCCATAAACCTTTCCTGGGGTTATGTGAGATCCAACACAAAATTTGGGCCCGATCGGTTCAGCCGTTTAGACGTTTATTAGGTACAAACAGACAGACAGACAGACAAGCAAAGTATGTACATAGATTTGAGGCAAAACCTTTTTTGTCTTAAATCTGGTTTATCTGGCTAGCTGGCTAGTGGTTACCTTACCCAATGACGGATAACCCCTAAGGCAGGATCTGGATACCTCAATAATGCCAGGAATAAACAACTTTATGCGATTTAAGGAGTTAACCCGTTATTTAAAAGTTTTTACACTAATTATCGAGTTAAATCGCTGAAGTTACGTTTTATTCTATAATGCCAGATAGCATGATCTTGCATAGTCCCTGATGTTAAACGTTAAAAGTCTTTCACAACTACTAGGAGTTTACATTGTTTGGTTCTATCAAAACCTCAATTAATTGTTTATAAACTATGAATATACCTGCACATTGAATGATAGTGTAACCATGTACTCCGTACTCCTTGTATAGACGCATCCTTAGTTTAGAATCCAGGTATGTACTCTGATCATGGATTGGATCATCGTGGGGATCCAGCTTCTTACCCTTCTCTAGGGCAACCTAGATACAACTTGTTTTAACACCCTACGCTGGACTAAACGACAATTACAATCCGTTTTAACACAATTTGTATTGGTAACCTTTCTGTTTGAAAAATTAAGACTTTAAATCATTTGACCACTCTAGTATGCCGGTCCATTAGCGCCTGATCCAATCAGGGTTCAGCCATGTGTTTGGTGTCTATTCTGAACCAATAGAAACTGCATGGCGGTAACATTTATCTTTCTATCTAGCTCATTATCCAATAAGAGATAAATCCTTATATCGGCGCTTCAACAGTATATAGAAATATTTACTTCTACTTAAACTATAGTGATGACTGAGCTTGTTTGATGTACAAAGTTAAAACAAAGATTGATCAAGACTATCTAATAATGACCGTTATCTAGCTTTATATAGTTTTCTACCATATTACAAATTGGTTTTATTTTAAGTGACCCTACGTTTTAAAAGGGCATACCCGAAACATAAAGGTAGATCATTTTCAATTTGGATTTCTTTTTAAACGTGACTTGTGGGTTTCTTGCTGAGAATCAGTGCTTAGGATCCATTTAATTTTGACGAGGATCCGGATTCTGGATCCTCACTGGAAAAAATGGATCCAAATCCGGATCCAGCTCATGTCATGAACATTCATTTAAGAATTTAAGAATAACCTTTATAATTTTTGGTTGATTTACTACCCTTAGGATTCGGATCCGTGGATCCACCTATTTTGCGGATCCGAATCCAGGAATCCAAAATGTTTGAATAAATACTTTAACTAAAAGCATACAGCTAAAAAGACTCAGTCCCACAGATGCTGCGGATCCAACGGATTTGAATCCTAAGCACTGTTGAGAATTAACACCGTATTTATCATATAAAAGATCAAATATCATTGTGAATCGGGCACGCCATCTTTTGCTTAAGGGTCACATGAGATTACAACAGCAGCCCCTTTAAGTGTTTTATCTTCAGTCCTACCTTGACTAGGAAGTCTCTGATCTTGTTTGTGTCTCCAGGATGGAAAATATGCCAGATTGCTCCAGGGAGTAAACCCTCGCTTCTTATCCTTCGTTTCATGATCAGATCACATCCAGCTTCATCAACCTAATCAAATCAAAACTAAAGGATTTTTCAAAAACATTTTTAAAGGTCGTGTTCGCAAAAATCCATAGTGGAAGAAAATGATAAATCAAACCTTGTTTTGATATTTCAAGCGACTTTTTTATCTGAATTTTCTTTAAGTATTTGCAGTAAACCTTTTAAAATAAGATTTTTTCCAGGGCAATAGCTTAACAGGAAAAACATTTCAATTTGTCAAAAAAAAATCTAAACTTTTTTTAACACATTGATCTTTGTTTTTCTCCCCCTAAAAACTGTTTTAGGTTTAATACCTAATCTGATTATTAGTGTGTATTGTGTAAATAATACAAAGTTATGAATAAGATATTTATCTAACCTGTTCTAATACACACTGAATATTCTCCTTGGGATCACAATCATCAGGTAGACCAACATAAACCAGCAGGTTTACAGCATCACTCATATCCAGGTGCAGATTTGTACTTGCTCGTGCACTGTACAACGCATTCCCGTACGCTATGTACATCTTGGGTCCCAGCTCGGGTTTCAGAAACCAGTCTGGCATATAGGATGCCAGGTTAAGTTTACCCTCTCTCAGGGTATAGGATGGAATAGGGAAGTTTTTAATTAGATCTTCATATCTTTTCGGTAAATTCTCAGCAATATCACCGTCCGGTGGCCAGTCCTTAAGTTTAAGCAGCATAGGGGTTCCATCTTCATCTACTAATCTCTGGGATACACTGCTGAACCCACTCCAGAACCACTTCAGGGGCTGCTTAGGAACCGTTCTACCCGTCAAAGTATTGATTAAATCAGAACTTTTATCCTCAAAATCCCGCATAAAGGATTTGGGCGACCAGAGCCGTTTATTGAGATTTTGATCACTGTTACTAATGATTACTGGTTGACCCCTAGACCACTGATGTTTGAACAGGTGAATATTGTGCGGAGATATCGCGTCATATAGATGGAGCAGTCGTCCATCACAGAGCCAGGCGTGCCGAGCCTGGACGGATATCCTGGCAGCCTCCTGGTTAGTTTGTATCTTACGAGGATACAAGGTGGTTAGACCAGGTTCATCAATACAATCTTCAGACGGGTTGTCATTGCTCACACCTGAAGGAGTCCTGTCCTCGGAGACTATATTTTCTAAATGGTCAGATATACGCAAACATTTATTTTCTTCTTTATCTGAATCAGTATCAGAGTCTACTACAGATATATCAGACAAAGGTAGAGCAAGAGAACTTCGTATCTCCGTTTTCATTAGATTATTGAACTCCAGGCTGGGTGGAGAACTGCAGGGTTGGGTCTCCTTGTACTTGGCTTTCACCTGGAACAGGGTTAGGTTTGGATTCTGTTCCCCAGGTTCAACTTGTCGAGAAGACCGGGGTTTCCAGATTCTGTCCTGACTTGTCAATGCCTAAATCAAATCAAATCATACTAAACAAAGATTGCTTAAGGCATTCGTAAAATTAAAGCCACAATATTACAAAATATCTGATAATTACTACACAATTTAAGGGTGATCAATATTGGAATTAAGCCAACCGCCCAACGGGGGTTGTTTCGTTAAAATTTCAAAATCGTCCATACGGTTGCGAATTGACGATTTAATTTCGAAGGAATTACTTTAACGCTGAAAAAAGATATTTTGAAAAAATTTCGTGTTATTTCTTGGAAATTTTATGCTTAATTTTAATCTGAAAAGCGCTATTAAAAATATTAAAAATCTAAGAAGTTATAGCCATATAAATGCGCAAAAATCATTTTTTTTTTTTTGATGATTTTGGCGTGTTTTCCAGCTCTAACTCATTCATTTTCATTTTTTAAGTGCTTTTCAGATTTGAATTCAGCATTAGATTTTCGAGAAAATGATTTGTAGCATGAAATTTTTGAAAATATTTTTTTTGGGGACCTTAACAGTGATTTCTCCGATATTAAATCTTCAATTCGTAACCATATGGACGATTTTGATTTTTTTTAGTCCAATATTTTTCTTAAGTGAAAACGCAGCAACCTCTGGTGGCCGCTAAGCTAATTTAAAAAAAAGTGACAAATTAATCACCCTTACTTCACACACAGATAACTCTGATTTTATAGTATAGAACACTTCAACAAATTTCTTATGCAATGTATTTGTGACTTAAATCTTCCAATCTTCGTACATCCTTGAAATCATCTCTGGATTTTTTAGCGGATTGACCCATCTATTGCCTTAAACGAACCCCTATTGCTTAATTAGGGAATAAACATGCCCTCTCATAAAATCATCAACTTTCCCCAGTTTAATTACCTAGAATGGCTTTTTTCAAGACTGGCAGATTTTTTAAGATTTAGATTACCAAATATTAATATTTTTAAAACAAATTCTACCTGAGGATGAAACTGTGCCGTGTGCCGAATATACCTGAGGATGAAACTGTGGCGTGTGCCCAATATACAATTCTACCTGAGGATGAAACTGGGCTGTGTGCCGAATATACAATTCTACCTGAGGATGAAACTGTGGTGTGTGCCCAATATACAATTCTACCTGAGGACTAAACTGTGGCGTGTGCCCAATATACAATTCTACCTGAGGATGAAACTGTGCAGTGTGCCGAATATACAATTCTACCTGAGGATGAAACTGTGCCGTGTGCCCAATATACAATTCTACCTGAGGATGAAACTGTGCAGTGTGCCGAGGAAACAATTCTACCTGAGGATGAAACTGTGCAGTGTGCCGAATATACAATTCTACCTGAGGATGAAACTGTGCCGTGTGCCGAGGAAACAATTCTACCTGAGGATGAAACTGTGCCGTGTGCCGAATAATCCCTAATCTTGATCCTGACTCATATAAACATATTCCACATATATACGGCTGGTGGGTTGGTAATCCCTAGAACATGTAATATTTATCTAAATATAACTCAACTCATTCCTAACCTTCCTATATATTTTCAACCTGATTGTGTAAACCGTTGATATTTTAATCTTTGACTGTTTCATCTAGCAGAGTTCTGTAAAATTTCAAATGTCTACAACTTCAGGTTGCAAAGATATAAGGAAAAGAAAACTCGAATATTAAAAGAATTATTTCTTCCTCCTTTAATTCTGATTTATTCAAAGAGAGTGTATTTATAATTTATAAAGTGACATGTATGATTCACAAGTTCTCAACGGTACCCTTTAAACCTTTGTTTGATAAAGAATTAAAGTAACATGATTATTTTCAATTGTGGGTTTTCTGTAAAAATTAATTGAAGAATTATGCTGCAGAAACAATGAAGAGATTGGCGGAATTAAACATGTTTCAAGTTAGAACAGCGACGGCATCTTCCATTGATCAGTTAAAGTGTTAAAGGGTACTCATGTGAATTAAAAGGCCACTTTTTATGTGGAAGCTAGCCTACTGATTATTATAATATTTGATTTCAATAAAATAATGATCTTAATACATATTTTATTTATACTTCGAGAAATTCTTCATCTAATTTAAATAAACTAAAATCTAAATACCTGAAGGTTCAATTGTACATGGGCCATCCAATGATCTGAGAGTCCAGCCATCTTGACCTGGCCGCATATGCTGCAGACTCTACCCTGAGCTGGGAGAAGACCAGGCTTTTGATCTGGATCCACTAGAACCTGCTCTGGTATCCAACCCTGGGCAAGCTTGACATAGAGTTCTGTTACTCGATGATACTCCCCAAAGTGTTCAATAAGTTCTTTTGTAGTTTCCCCAACGAAAATACACCTAAAATGTTTGCACTTTAAAACTAAAACATTTGAAAAAAAAACTTATTCCACTCAAAAGAATTTATCCAAAATTTCAAGAAAAATATGTGCCAATTTCAAGAAAAATATGTGCCATTTGGGAATGAAGCATGAAATTGATGAGGATTTTCATAGAATCCAAAATCATATTTTCTATTCGTGATCAACGCCTCTGAATTGAATTTTTACCCATATTACAAATTCTATCCATTTAAATTATTTTCTTTCAAAACTTTTTTCAAGATATCCAGCAAGTCCAAAAACTTTTATAAATGCTACTAGAAGGGGTAAATTTTTTTTCATAAAGCAAAAAATTCATTAATCCCACACTTCAAACTTTAAAAAAAGACATGAAGGATGCACAAAAATTCAAATAAAGTAAAACATTCCTGGGACACGCTAAAGGAACCCTGTTACTCTGGTTTTGAGATTCCATCTCCAGGTTCAAATCTCTTGCCACGCTCTCCTGGTAGTGTTCTGTCATGTGTTGATAATATTGTCCAACATTAAACCCTTCACAACCTTCTACAAGACATTCAATTCTTCCACGTTTCTTTTCTTCATGTTCAGGATCAAGTTCATGCTTTCGTTTTGTCGAGGATGTCAGCGGTTTGATCTGCATAATTGATCGCTTCTCATTAATTATTTGGGGAGATATTAGCAAACTGAGATCTCCATAAATATCTATCTTGGAATAGTGTTCTTTGGCATTGTGGGCTTTAAGCTCTTGGTAAGATTGAAAACATGGGAACCCGTCACAAAGATCACACTGATGCGGCTCTGAATCAGGGATTTGAGAATCAAAAGAAATAATATGATGCTGCTGAATATGACTGATTGGATCAGGGGACAGACATTGGTTGCAGTAAATGCAATCTTTACTCATTAACATCCTAACCATTTTGTTCTGGAATTCTAGATTGCGGAGAGGACTTCCAATCATTTTCTTGACTGCAGGTTCAAGAAATTTTCTGCTGATTGAGCTGAAATGCTTTTCTCCAATATGATTTAGAAGCTGACCATACACACTACTGTTCTGTGTGGTGTACAGATTAAGCTTGCAATCAGCACAACTGGTTTTAAAGAGGTTGTCTACCATCAACCCGGCGAAGAAATGTGAAATCAGATGAGAAAATATTTCTGTGTTTTCTACAGGTTCTGAACAGAGAACGCACATAACTCCCTGTTTGTCTACCTTCTCTGGATTTCTTTCACTTATGATTTTGGATGCTAGATGTTGATCAACCTCTTTATGGATAATCCCTAGATGTACACTTGCATCTGATAATGCAGATTTGTAATTGCATCCCAAGCTTGGACATAAATATTCCTTGTCAATCACCAATATTTTGTCAGAGAGAATCTTTATAAAATGTTTTTCAGCAAGATGTCTTCTTTTGCCAAAAGGGGAGGAAAAAGTTGGGTTTGATGGACAGAGCTCACATGTGTTTCTACCAAGAGTTTTCCATTCTTCCACAGGATCAAACATCATTATCTGGTTTACCTCTTCCTCATGCTCAACAAAATAGTGACTTAAAATGGCATATGAGGACTTCACATCTACTATTTGAATTTGACACAAGTTGCATTGGGGAGTTTTTAGAAACTTAAATAAATCAGCATGCTCTGTCAGTAAATGTTTCCAATAATTTGGAGGAGCAAGGTGTTCTTGGCCCTTTGAGAACTTTAGTCCACAAAGATAACACTCAGGTGGAATTTTCTTAGCAAGTTGTTCAAAAAACAGCTTCTTCTTACCAGCAAGCATGCGATACTCAAACCTTTTGTAGATTGACATTGCATGATTGTGGAAAATCCCTACATGATGAATAAGTTCATTCATATCTGCAAATGTTTGATCACATTTTGAACATTCTGTGGAACTTTTCAGTCCTTTCCTTAGATCATCTGCAACATGTTTCATCACATGGTCTGCTTCCTTCTTCAAAGAGATGTTAATATTGCAAATGTCACATTTCACAGATTTTATGAAATTTTTGGATTTATCTTCAGATTTTTTCCTCTTGGGGGAAAGTTCAGGAATGAGATCAATTTTCCGCTTCAATGACTTCTTTTCTTCTGTATTCTTCTTAATTTTCATTTCCAGGGAAGAAAGTGAGGGCGTGTTCATAGAGACTTGGGAGTATAATTCTGCCTGTGCTTCTCCATGTACAAAAGCTAAATGTAGTCTGAAAGATGGTTTGTCCATATCTCTCAAACTACAAGTCTCACAACCTGTTCTTTTACCAATGATAGTATCTAGTTTCTCTTGTAGGTGACAAACTATATGAACATTCCAGTTGTAGCAGTTTAATGTGGGATCAGGAGAACTAAAATTCATACCACAGATATCACAGAACCAGTTATCCTCTAAAATGTGACATTCCTTGAGGTTTCTCAATGAAATTAGGGTCTTAGATTCATCTGGCATTACAGCTTGAGCAGGTTTACATGCAGTATCTGCCTCTAAAACTGTTTCTTGGCAAACTTCTGTATCTCTAACAATGCCTACACTTGTGACTATCGTCTTGTCCAGACTGATAAAGTCAGTAAATCCTTCATTTTCAAACCCAACAAACAAGTCTGAGTATACCAAGTTCTGATCAGGAGTGGATGGTCCATACAAGATCTTGTTCAGCACAACCAATACCTTGTCTGAGTGAACCTTAACAAAGTGATGAGCTAGGTTGTCATTATTGGAAAAAGTTTCATTACACTCAAAGCATTCCTTGACAGGGGAGTAGAGATGAGGAAAGTATTCCCAAAGATGCATTTTAAGCAGATGATATCCTAGTCCATTAATGAGAATTTGACCCTGGTTTCCTTCTTCTTCTTGATTGATTCTATCCAAAGATGCTAATCTTACATCATCTGTTCCACAGAGGAGACAAGTGCTTTTGTATCTGTTAGCCTTAATAGGTAAAGTGTACCTATTAATACTCTCCTTGCTTGCTCGCTCCTCCAACTTATCAGGGAGTGTTACTTCAGAATCAAAAGCTTCCTTGGCCAGTTTGTCCACAGTATCATGTGCAAATCCACAGTGTATGAGAAGAGAAAATCTGTTGGAAAAGTTTAATCTGCAAGTTGGACATTGGAATGGAGAAGTTAAAGGTAAAGTTTCTGCAACACATTTGATAAAATGTCGAACTAAATGGAGTTTCACTGCAAGACTATCAACAGATGTAAAGTTACATTTGCATTTAAAGCAGGATGCAAGAGTAGCATGGAAAGGAACAGAGTTAGTTTCCTGAATTTGTGTATCTTCAGACTCAACATCTAAACTTATCTCATTAATACAATTGTAAGTAGGATGCTCATATTCAGGAATGCAGACCTGGAAGAATTTAGTAACATCACCTTCCACCTGGCGGGATTGTGAAAACAGAGCTTGAAGAATGTTCATGTTGGATGTATGAGAGATAAGGTGAGAGTGGAACTCAGCTCTGTTCTTACTAACCTGGCCACAATCCTGGCACTTCCTACCTGAGTATCCAGGGATTAAATGCACAATATGAGAAATCACATGAGACCCCATCAGGACTAACACTTTTTTTTCCTTAGCATCACCTTTTACTTTAAAACCACATATGATACACAAATATTCACTTACAAGCATCTCATCTGAAACTGCTCTCTCAGGATCCTTATTGATATCATCAGCAATATCTTCTTCCTCCTCTTTCCAGTGGTGTTTATCAATAAGACGACAAAAATAACCATGTTTTGTTCCTATGTGAATGATGAGATGATCTTTAATTATGATCTTCTTATTGCAGATAGGACAAACACCGGAGGATATTTGTGGAAACTCATTCTCAATTACTTCAGCAAAATGTTCTGCATAATGTTTCTTCAGTGAAGTTGCTTTAGCTAAAGCATGATGAAAATCCTGTGAACAAATCCGACATTTGGATTCACTGTTGTAATCCAAAGATTGAGAATATTCTTCCAACTTTTGATCAAAAACTCCATGATTGACGCCAATATGAATACAAATCTCTTGGAAAGATTCTTCTTTGATTTTCAAATGTGAACCAGCATCGCAGAAAGGGCATTTCAGTGAAACACCATCACCCATGATCTCCTTCTCATAATCCTTCCCCATTACTTGCTTGAAATGTTCAAAGAAGTGAATAGTTTTCTTAGTGTATTCCACAGGTAAGGGTAGAAAGCAGATCTTGCAATTGGTATCTTGAGAGAACCTATCTGACATTTCATAATTCTTTCTTATTCTACCTTCCATACCTTGTGTAACAAAATTCTTGAAGAGATCATGAAATGATCCAAGATGTTTGACCAGTTTCTTTTTATGGTGTCCAAACTGATCAGAATCAAGATCCGAGGTATTGAATTCACATCCTTCAAATGGACAAAATAGAGGAAAACGACTTTCCAGAAATAAATCCTCATATTTCTCTTCAATGCTGTTCTTGAAGTGGATATGATAGTGAGCTTTAGCTGCTTTTACAGCAGATTCTGAACCACTAGAATCTAGCTCCTCATCACACATTTGACATTTACCAGAAAACGTAGCAAAAAGATCTGCATTGGTTTCGGTGGATTCAGGTTGAACCATAGTTTTGGTGGCATCCATCAAAAAAAGATCTACCATCCTGTGGGTGGCTCCCATATGCGAAAGAAATCTGGCTTTAGCGTTACTAGAATCAACCACAAACTGACATCCTTTCATCCTGCACCGGTATGGAGGATTCTTTTGAAGAAGATTGCCATTCTTCTTGTTAATCTCGTTTTCTAGTGCTTCCTTAAGATGAACAGTTATGTAATGGTTTCGTTTTTGTGAGGGAGTCAAAGCCTCATGCTTCTCATTACAATACAAACAATTGGGAATGTCTAGCCAGCTGTTCAGTGTATTCATACTTGTATTGCTTTCCTCTGTTAGGTACTGTTTGAGACATGAATCCAACTTTTTGTGATAAACACCTACATGAACCATCAGACGGCTTCTGTTGAACTCCTGATGAGTGCACTCTTCACAGCAAAAAGGAGGAAGAGCTTTAGTGTTATTTAAAAGGATTTCAGCTAGATGGTAAATATAGTGAGTTCGTTTTTTTGCTTTGTCAAGCTGGGAAATGTTTTGAACACAAACCTGACAAACATCATGCTCATCAATCTCTAGAGAAACTTCATCCTGTCTTCTTGACTCTTCAGAAATAAAAACAGTTTCATAGTGAATATCAACAACTCTATGAAGTAATGCTTGGTGAGCAAGAGCATTATTAAGGTTTCCTAGATCAATATTACACTCTTGGCAGATAGTGCTTTCCTCCTCTATAAATGAATTCTTCAAGTGATGAACTAAATGAACACGAATACAGTTTAGATTAAGATTTGCAAATGATATATTGCACTCAGGACAGTGAGTAAATAATTGAAGAGAAGAAGATTCCGCAGTTTCTGAGCTATTTTGGAATTTAAGCAGTGACTTGGGAGTGTTACAACACTTGCAGTCTAATTTGAGGTTGTAGAATTTTCTTATTTCATGGATAGCTGACACAAGAGATTCTGGCACATTTTCAGGAGACATCTGTGTCATGCACAACTTATCAATATCATGTATTTGATTGTTTAAACAGAGAGGCCATAGGTTCATGTCAAGTCCAGGTCTAAATCTTCGTGATCTAGATGGTTTAGCCATCACATTAATACTCTTATACTTGGTTCCTTTCTTCCTTGCGAGGAAACAATCGCAGCAGACAAGAACTCCACACCTTGAGCAGGTAAAGTGAAGGTTGTATATGGATGTGCTACAGACATCACACATCTCTCTGACACCAATATGTGGACGCTTCCAAACAACTGTTCTATTAGCTTTAACAAACTCATCCTTCATCAACTTTTCATCAACAATGATGTCACATAAAAGGTCTCCAACTTTTTTCACAATGAAGAATGCTTCTTCCAAGCTCATTTCATTATCCAGAACAGTCTCAGGCTTAGGGTCCCAGATTTCACGATCAGTTGGCTTAGGATCAATTACAGGATCCAGGTATCCTACTATAATGAGTCTTCCATCCTCCAGATATCTTATTTTTCTAAAACCTTCAAAGCAGCAACAAGTTCCACTTTGGGCATAATTTGCTCCCAGTTGAATCTTCTTGCATTCATGGCATGGTGGCAGTTTATCACCAAACATGTAGCATGGACTGTTCTGAGTGAAAGGTTCTTGTGTCTTTTTCTTGCTTTTCAAAAATCTTCTCCTCTCCTTTTCTTCTTTTTCTGCATCTTCTCCATCTTCTCCTAAAGTTGTCAGTTCATTAGATTCAACTGGCTGTTTTGGTATGAGTTCTAGATACATCTTTCTCACATCCTCATGAGCATCAGCAATATGAACTCCCATGTTCTTCCACATCACCCATTGATGACAAGACTTGCACTGATGTGAGGGTAAAGAATCATCATTGAAGTCATCAAAAAAGATTGGAATCATGTCATCTATCTGTGCAGTGAAGTGTTTCTTGTACAAATGCTTTCTAAAGAACTCTTCATCCCTCATGAACTTGTGACAAATTTTGCACTCAACAGGGTCACTGATCCCAGGAACCTTTTTCAAAGTTGGCTCAACCTTAAATTTCTTCTCTGGTTCAATAGTAGTTTCAGGAAATTCAAGGTTCGAGGAGGGTGTTTCCAAGTCCCCTAAAATCTGCACATCAAGCATCATTTCCACATTGACGAGATGAACTACAATATCAATAGGAGAAGTTGAAGTTGTTTGACAATGTCCGCACTGAAAATCTTTGTTAGGTTTCACTTTCAAGTTTCTTGCAAGTGAATTAGTAAAATGATCATTCAGTAAATGCAATTTGTAAACAAAAAGATTCTTCTGGTTGACCCCACATTTGTAGCATTCATATGAGGACTGTGATGGAGGAAACTTGCTGTGTAGGGTTTTGAAATGATTAGCATAGTGATCCAGTCTTTCTGAACGTGGCACTCCACTCAAATCGCTCTTACAAATCATACAGATACCAGCTTTGATGGCCCAAAACCTATCAGATAAAGATTTCTCCAGTTCAGTGGCTGAGTTGATTTTGACCTGAAACCGGAATTCCTGAAGAAAAAGATTTGGCACCACTTCATGAACAAACCCTATGTGGCAGAAGAATTTTAAGATCATTAAATTGTTTGAATCATTTCCTTTGATAATCTGAACATTACACAGGGGACATATTAACATTTCATGTAGATCCTGCTTGTCCAAATATTCCTTGCAGATAATTTCAAGGTCTTCTTTAAAATGATCTATGTAATGATACCTCTTGCTTTCATCCTTGCGAAATTTCTTGTCTGTGCAAATGACACAATTTCTCTCGGTCTTCCAATCCTGTTTCTTTTTCACCAGAGAAGGTTTAACAGGCATTTTGTTCAGATCTAAGGAAAAGCAGTTGGATTCTTCATATGTCATATTACTAGTGTCTTGAAGAACCGGAACACTTCTAGCTGTAGAACTGGGTTTCTGTAGAGCAACCCTTGGATCTCTTGATGTAGATCGTTTATCAAGAAATCTAGTGAACTCATTGTTGAAGTTCATTGGGCTTTGTTTACACTTCTCCTTAATAAACTGATCAAAGAGGTTATGATGTTCACCAAAATGCATGAAGAAAGTAGGATCATCATTGAAGATTATACCACAGCACTCTCTTAAAGAGTTTGCTTTTCTATACTTCATTCTTAAGTATAAGTAGATATCCTGCCGGAAATGATCAAGAAAATGAGCAGCTCGTTGAAACTGGGTTCCTTTAAATAGTTTTAAACAGATTGGACAGTTCAAAACAGTTTTCCATACTTCTTTAGTCTCAGTAACGTTTTCAGAAATATTTTGATCCTCCACTTTCACGCTGGTTTCAGCTACGCTATCCTTTTTGTTCAGAATGTAAAGTTGGTTTGTTGTTTTCAAATATACCTCCAGGTAGCCATGATCTATAGCATAATGAAGCACTGAATCCTTCTCCACCTCGTTCTTGGTCTTGCATCCCTTTTCTGGACAGAAAACATATTTCCTCTTTTCCTGCTCCTCCTTCACCCTGATCCTAACTGCCTCTCTGGACTCATCATGGTTGTGAATGAAGAACATGTGAGCGTAGTAGTTTGCCTTATCCTTGCTCCTGTTACTACAGAGATTACAGATGAGGAAACCTCCTTCCTCCTTCGGAGGTTCTACTACCTCTAGACCTGAAACAGGACACAGATACATTCTATGAATTTAAATTGTACAATCTATGCCCTAGAGGATAATGGAGTGTTTAAAGACCAAAAAAAACTCCAATTTTTTCCTGTAATTGTAACAAAAAAATTCTTAAAAATAAAAAAAATGGACACCCTTCTTAGAAAAATAAATTAAATGCAGAGTTAATCATGCTTGCTTTTTTTATCTTTATTAATTGCAAAAGCAATGCCAATCTTCGAAGCTGTATTATGTTAAAGGTTTTAAATTTTCAATCAGCAACTACTTTTGAGTTAGAGTAAGATAAAGCGTTTGTTGTTTAATTTTAACAACATTTCAAACGTGCTGATATTTTTAATCCTTTCTAGTCCCTCAACCGTTTTTTTGAAAATCAAGATTCTTAGCACTGTTTTATAATTATGTATGTACTGTGTACAGTCAGGTGCGGCTTACAATATTTTCCAGAGGGGGGGGGAGATTATTGAATAAATAAATAGAAGAATATTTAAAGAGAAGAATATTCAAAGAAAAAAAAGAAGAATATTTAAAGAAAAGAATATTCAAAGAAAAAAAGAAGAATATTTAAAGAATAAAAAGAAAAATATTTAAAAAAATAAAAAGAAGAATATTTAAAAATAAAAAGAAAAATATTTTAAGAATAAAAAGAAAAATATTTTAAGAATAAAAAGAAGAATACTTAAAGAAAATAAAAAGAAGAATATTCAATAAAAAAAAATTTAAAGAAAATGTAAAGAAGAATATTCTCTCCTGGAATTTTATACAGAACGTTTGGTCATTTGAATGGACAAACAATGACAAGCTGGGGGTGGAGGGGGGAACATGTGCTAACATATTTTGGATTTTAAGAAAATTTAGTTTTTGACTCTATTCTTGGAAATCAAAATTAAAGGGCTAGAAGATTTCTGATTTTCCTATTTGCCCCGTAATATTTCCAAGGGGATATCCCCTCTCCCCCCTTAAGCCCCCACTGTGTGTACTTATGCACAACAAAAACATTTAATTCAGTAAAATTAGAATCTAGAAAAATCTTTTCTCATTTCCAAAATGCGGAAAGTTGTACCCAACCAAATGTTTTAAACAAAAACCCGGGGTTTATTTTCATCGTCCAAGTAATCATTATCTCTGCAGAATAATATCACTAAAAACCTTATTTTTTCAGCATTATTTTTGTGACTTTTGTTTCAAGTGGAAAATATTTAATAAAGGGAGTAATGCAAAGTTATATTAAAACAAAATATACGATTTGTATCAATCTTTTATGAAAAAAAAATTCTTTTAGTTAAAGGAATTTAATCTTTGCAACAAACTGTGATTTTCTAATCCCTAAATCTTTGCAACCAAATGTCGTAGGCCTTAGATATTTAATACTAAGAATTCCGTTGAATGAAATGATTAAAGTTTAAAATATCAAAGGTTTACGTCAACAGGTTACACAGATATTGGTATTTGGAATTTTTACTTTTTGGCAGGGGGGCTGGATCTTAGCTACCTCTCCCTGCGTATTAGCCTGAGTGTACACTTGGGATAGTTTACTGGTAATGGATATTAAGAGATTATGGCATATTCATGCAGTACAAACATCAAAAATGCAGTACGCTTTCGGAGTACAGTTGCATGGGGAGATTTTGTATCTTGAATTTTACTCCGTTTTATCAGAACAGTTTATTAACGATGAAGTATTGCTCTAGCTGTAAAAGACTGTAAATGTACGCCTTCCTGTGAAAATGGAACCTGCATACGATAAAAGAGTAGTGGATTCTAATAGTTACATGGAAAACAAATTCTCTATTTAAATATTTTCAGAAATCACCCCTGAGTACTGTAATATACAGATTGACCTTTTGACATTGCCTGTACAACTAGTAAAGGATTAGCGTACATCATCAATCTATATACTATAACCTCGTTGGTTTGTGGCAAAGACTCAATTCCTGTGATTTGTTCAGCCATTAATTTAGTCACAAAATGTTTGTTACTTAAACTCTAAAAAGTTACCTTTCCATAAATGAATTTAAAAGAAACATACCTTTCCCAACAATATGATGAATCCAGTAGTGAACATCAACAGTCTGCTCTGCAAGATATTCTCCACAGTCTGGGCACACGATTCTAGTCCGTCCAACCTCGTTGATATGATCAAGGATATCAGTGTAGAAGTGAACCTGTATCAGATGCTTCTTCAGGGAGAGTATATTGGTCGCAAATCTGATTTTCCCTGGACACAGTTCACAGGTATACTGGAACTTGTTGGAATCTCCACTCATTGTGTTCTTCAGCAATGATATTTGGCCGGGGCTCTTGGACTGGTTTGGTAGTAGTGAGATCATCTTGGGTCTGGAGGGATTCACATTCACGGCGATGTTCTGCTCTATGGGTTCATTCTGAGCATCAAACTTTTCTCTGATAAAAAGAAAAAGTTTAGTGTGAGCGGTTGCAAAATGTTCCAATATTTTACAGCAGGTTTTTGCAACAAAACCACAACAGCGGCATGATGCGCGAGAGGATTTATGATCAGTAATTCCAGGTTCAATAAGTCCCATGCTCATCAAAACTTTCCTGCTGTGCAGAGACAGGTGCTCAAGGCTGATGTCGTCTTTCTTACACACACTGCAGTGCTTCACGGGATTACAATCACCAATTTCAAACTCGCGGAAAGATTGAAGGATTTGCTCACGGTGTTGAGATCTTAGATGGGTGATACAATATTCTTTACTCTTCAGAAGGCAGTTACAGAGACTGCAGATGTAGTGAGTCATTTTCTTCTTCATGATCCCCATTTCCTGAATAAAGAGATGAGTGTGGAGAATGTAGTGCTCAAATTCTGCTTTTTTCTTTTCCTTCTCGCTTTCCAATCCCTGGAAATCAATGAATCCGTTGCATATTTTACAGAGAGAGAAACTCAATACAGTCTTAGTATAATTCTGCTCAAAGTAATCCTTGTGCAGGGAGCAGATGTGAACAAATACCTCTTCAAGGGATTGGAAGTTGCTTCCACTCAAACTTGAACCGACTTTCTTTAGACAAGGACTGCAGCGGTAGTTAACATCAAGTTTCTGGAACCAGCGACCAGCAATGCTCTGACCGCTAGGTTTCTCCGATTTAACAGCAGATGATGTGTTGGATTTAATTGCCCAGCTTATGTTAACATGCCTTGAAGTTTTCATGTGCTGGAGAAGGTTGAAAACACTGCTAAGATCTCTGTGACAGGTAAGGCACTGGTATGGTTGCGGATGAATGAAGGTTGTGGTGGAGAACAGAGATGGATTCTCAGGTTCCAACTTTATTGAAACTCCAGGCTTGATAAACTTCAAGGAAGGTTCAGCTTCCTTTCTGACAGTGTTTAGACTATATGTAAGAAAACTCTCCATTACATTGTGCTTGTTAGCTAGATGCATAAAAAGTTCTTCCTTCTGTGTCGTGTTGTTTCGGGTTACAAAGACACAACTCGGCTCCGGGCACCTGTAGGGGGAACCCTTCTGGGATCTGATGTACTTGGTCTCCATTTGGAACTGGAAGTGTGCTAGGACATAATGTTTGTTCAAATCCATTTTATTACCAAGGATCCTTTGGTTGCATAGTTTACAGCTTAATCCAGCAGTACTATTGTGGATTTTCTTTATGTTCATGGAGGATTTAGGTAACCAGGGCATTAGGTGACTGACATACTGGGGAATATCACCATGATCCAAGTTGTTAAAAGTAGTGTTAGGTAATTGAGTCGGTACAACAGCTTTGTACATGTTCATTATCACACTGTGCGCTTCTTTAATATGTCCGATCAAGTTCTGAAAGTTCATGGTTTCTCCGCAGCAGATAAAATCTCCACTGCTGTTGGAACAAGCAAACATTCTCATGAGTTCCGTCTTGAAGTGAGTATTGGCGAGATGAATAAGAAATGCATCTTTAACTGCGCGGGAATCTCCTTCAGGTGGTTCCCAATGTCCACGATGAAGTGGGCAGAATATACACGACGGTTCCTCGTTCTCAAACTTTTTCGAGGATTTAAAACTTTTCATTGGTAGTTTTTTTTCAAACTCGACCGTTACATATCCTTCGTATGAATTTATTTCTAGCGTGATCTTGCTCGATACCGGATCTTCGATAAAATCAACTGAATCTTTTTGGTTAATAAACACGGAAGGAAATAAGGCTGGGGATTTTCTCACAGTTTTCTTTCCAGATTTTCTGATTCTTTGATAATAGTCATCAAATGACAGCTGTGTGTGTGTTTGCACTCCAAACATATCGTCCACAATCTTGAAGTAACAATATAGAGAATAGTTGCAATTATCCTCTGCCTCCCCGACATGCGACAGGAACTCTTCAAAACTTGGCAAAGATAGTTTACAAGTGGTGCATGTTGTTTGGCTTTCATTAAAGAAGCTCTTGCTCACTGGTTTCACATGGCAATCTGTGATGTGGAATAGTAAATGTGGCATTCTTAGTGTAGAGAATTCACACAGCTCGCAATACAGCTCATTAGAAGCAGCATTCATCACACCAGACTTGACTTCTTCAGCATACAGATTCTCCAGATAGTTGTGTTTAACAGCAACATGTCGAGCTATATCATAATTATCATGTACAGAGGCAAACTGGCGTTCACAGAGAAGACAGTGTTTCTCTGATCCAACAATTCGAACACAAGAATTCATTTCAACTGGGAAATGACAGCCAAGATGATGTTTGAAGGCTGTTAGTGTGAAAACCGTGATAGAACAGAGCTTGCAGTTCAGACTTTGTGGCGTGACCTAGAAAAAAAAGTTTGCATACCACACTAAAATTATTTCGAGTTCTAGCAATCACATTTGAATTTTTTGTTTGAATTTTTAGATTTTTTTACAAAGCAAACCAAAATGAGTTGCTCTTTCTGTATACATTTTTAAAATACGATGGCTTCTTTGCAGTTTTATATAATTGACAAAGGTACTGAACAGTTGTCTCGATCCTAAAGAACTCTGTTTTTGGCACAAACTCAGTATATCTTTGAAAACCAATGTCGTAAACCTTTGATATTTCAAATTAAGAATTTTAATATATAACATTGTCTAAGTTTGAAATATTAGAAATTTACGCCATCACATTGCCAAGATATTTGGATTGAAAAATTTAAGCTTGAGGCAAAAACTCAGGTCCTTTGTCAAGCCTTATATCTGTGCAACCTTATGTATAAGACCCTTGATATTAACTTTAAACTATGAAAGATCTATGGCCAGAATTTGAAATACGAAAAAATTTTCACCACCGGATTTCAAATAGCAAGGGATTAAAAATTGGAATTTGTGGCAAGTCTTCAGTTCCTTTCTGATCAAATATAATTGTTTTTCAAAGAGAAAACAAAACACACATTTTGCCTTAAAATCAAACAATTTTGAACAATATTAAAAAACAAAACACACATTTTGCCTTAAAATCAAACAATTTTGAACAATATTAAAAAAACAAAAATTGGATGGAATCGAACGGCTTGAGAAGCAACTTTAATTAATAATGAAAAAATTTGTAATCTTTAATCAGAAATTTTTGTTAAAGAATTTCAAGTTTAAAATGGGCTTACAACTGGGAGTAACAAGATAACAATTTCATACTTAAAAGCAGAATGAAAGATAATTTGTTTTTAGATTTCTTAAATTAGATTACGAAGGATATTTCTATTTATATATCAGAAAATATTTATATCTTATTTTAAAAGGTGAATATGTTACAAATACAAAACCCTCAGCAATGTTTCTAATTTAAAGACGACTTTCGCTTTTAACTTTTTTTTTTGTATCTTAAGAATTAACTTCCCCCAGAACGATAATGTTAACTACAAGACCTGAATCCTTGTATAGAGCTTCCAAAATGTTCTGTGAACTTTATTCATGTGATCTATAAACTGAGCTTTATTCATCCCTTCAATAGAACCACACTCTTCGCAGAACATTTTGCCTGATTAATAATATATTAAAGGGACAGGAGATGTAAGATGACTCTCCGTTTACAGAAAGGCATGTTTAATTCACAACGGTAGACTTATAACCTTAGTCTGATCAAGAATTCATATCCCTGTGTTTCTCTATGTGACTGACTTACGGATTTTTGGAGCAGAAATAAACACTAAAGCTCGAAAAACGACAATTTCTACCAAATTAGGACAGATAAAGGTTTAGAAGGTACCGTAGTGAATCATGCATGCCCGTTTTGGTTTCTGCAATGAACCGATAAAATTGTCTTCACTTGGGCAGACGAAATTTCTTATTTGTGATATCTAACTATTACCCCCCCCCCCCCCCCCCCCCCCCCCCCCCCCCCCCCCCCCCCCCTTNTTCAATAATTTACCTTATAACATCATTCCCCCCCCCCCATTCAGCAAATAAAACCATTCACATTTTTTTGCGCATGCATATGTTACTTCTTGGGGGGAAAAAATGTTCAAAATGTTGTTTTTTAAAAAATATACACCCCTGGTTTATGATTATGAATATATGTACCTGGTAAATTAGGGTAGGTTAGTGCTTGGAGAAGAATATCATCGTGAAGATGTATATCAGTCAGATGTTTCTCAAGCTCAGAATTCTAAAAATTAGGATTAATCGTCTTGCTATCATTTTAGTTCATTGAAACTTGAAAGTTTTAACAATTTCCAAATATTTTCTGATAAATATCAATTGGTTAAAAATGGTTAATTTCGGCTTGTTTAGTTAGTTTTTTTTTAAGTTAAATCGGTTCAGTTGGTCTGGTTAAGTCTCATCAAGTTTTGGTTAAGTTTTGGTTAAGGTTTGGTTAAGGTTTAGTTAAGTTTTGGTTAAGTGTTGGTTAAGTGTTGGTTAAGTGTTGGTTAAGGTTTGGTTAAGGTTTGATTAAGGTTTGGTTAAGGTTTGGTTAAGTTTTGGTTAAGGTTTGGTTAAGTTTTGGTTAAGGTTTGGTTAAGTTTTGATTAAGGTTTGATTAAGGTCTGATTAAGGTTTGATTAAGTTTTGGTTAAGGTTTGGTTAAGTTTTGGTTAAGTTTTTATTAAGGTTTGGTTAAGGTTTGGTTAAGGTTTGGTTAAGTTTTGGTTAAATTTTGGTTTTGTTTGGTATTGTTTGGTATTGTTTGGTATTGTTTGCTTTGGTTTGGATATATTTGGTTCAGTTTGGTTTGGTTTGGTTAAATTTGGTTCAGTTTGGGTAGATTTAAACAAGGTTAAAAGTTTTCAACTTAATTTCGAGAACTTTAGTAAAGTGTAGTCAAGGTTTTACTTTTAATTCGATAATTTTGTATTATTATCGTTTTTTCGATTATTTTCGATTGGTTTCGATTGTTTTCGATTGGTTTCAATTGGTTTCGATTATTATCGATTACTTTTTATCATTTTTTATTGTTTTCGATGGATTAAATTATTTTCGTTTGTTTTTGATAATTTTGATAATTTTAGATCATTTTAGTTATAGTTATTATCATTTCCAACCTTGCGGTATTTCTTGAGGCAGAGTTTACATGTGAGAAGCCTTGTCTCCTGAGCAACTAGTAGACCAGCATAGTCTCGTCCAAACAGATGGGGACGACCAGCTATATGAGAAACCATCAACATCTCGCTCTAGCACAAACAAATTTAACATTTTAGAATAAAAGTTTTTAAACAATCAGATCAAAACAAAGCATGAAACCAAAGCATGAAACCAAAGCATGAAACCAAAGCACCAAACCAAAGCATCAAACCAAAGCATCAAACCAAAGCACCAAACCAAAGCATTAAACCAAAGCATCAAACCAAAGCTAAGCATCAAACCAAAACTAAACTCAACTCAATTCTACTCAACTGACATAAAATTAAATCAAATTAAATCGTATTAAAACACATTTGAGTTACAAAAACGCCAACTCTTTAAAAGTAAAGAATTCTTATTATAAATATACAGTTTTCCGTCAATATTTTACTTGACATAATTTTGACATTAAACTAATCAGTACATTTTAAGGGAATTAAGGTTTGGCATTCACAATTGACCCACCTGTATTTATTCCTAAACATGCAGTTCTACCTGAAGGGTGAGATCACAAATAATGCACTTAAAGGTTCCTTCAGTAGTTTTTATAATAAGGTTTAAACATCTTTTGTAAACCTCATGAGCTGGGTTCAGGAACGTATCTCGTGCAGACAACTCTTCCCTAAACAGTAATTAGAATAATATTTAAACATTATTTCTCAAGAATAAAAAACAACTTTTTGAGCTGTCAATCAAAAACAAATATCCCTTTTTCGGGAATTTCTACTTACTACTTTTTCTGCATTTTGTGCAATTTCCATAATATAACTTTCACGGAACCATTGAATTACAGATTGCTTTTTAGAATTCTAATCCACGTAAGCTGCAATTTTTTAGCAGCCCCATTAATTATTAAAAATTTAAAAGGCAAGAAATCAACCAAAATATTCAGATTATCAAAGTTAACTTAAGTCAAAACATTATTTGACAAAAACATCTTTTATCTCGTACTTAAGTTTTCTAATCCTTCTTATGTATTCTTTCGAACTATAAATTGAATTCTACTAGATTAATAGTCAAAGTTTAAAAAACAATAATTCACACCATCGGCTCACAAAAATATGAAGATTAGAAAACCCAAGTTTGTAAAATTGTATTTTTAACGAGAAAAAGGGGTGTCATGCAAACTACTAATGCCTTAAAAAAAGCAGTGCCAAATGCAGACCTCACGAAAGAAGTGCAAAAATAATTATAAGTATAAATACTGATTAATGCCTAGGCACCGTATTCAAAATCCACAATTTCCCCCAGAAAACACCATTTTATTTACTTACTTTAGTCCTGCTCCTGGAGAAAGATATTCTGCAAGTTTCTGAACATCCGTTGAATCTATTTTAGGTTTCTCAATTCCACCTTCAATACTTATTTCACCCTTTGATGCCATCGTCAGTAAACGGTCCGTAAACCAGAAGTTTAACCTCTGGTGCTCTAAAACAAAATTTATTTTTAAATATAATTTTTTCAATTCTTTTTTAAAAACTTAACAAAATTAGAATACAGAATACAAACGTTTTCTCTTGGGATATTAACTCTTAAACAACAGTAAGAACTGTAAGTTTTGTGAATTTTTCTAACATGAGACTTTTATTAAAATCCAGTGCTTAGGATCCGGATCCGGATCCGTTGGATCCGCAAGATTTTAGCTTCCTGGATCCGGATCCGCAAAAATATGCAGATCCACGGATCCGGATCCAAGGGGTGAAATATCAACCAAAAAATGCAAAAAAAATCTGTTTTACTCCAAAACCCCAAATCTGAACTTATGAAAAAAAAGATTATAAAAATTTCCTCATTTCTGAATGGTTCATCAAGTTTTAGGATAAAAATAAGCGAAAAAAATAAAACCAAAAATTTGAAAATTTTGTTTTGTTAAAAAAATTTCAGTAAATCTTAAAGAAATGACCTGGATCCGGATCCGCATCAAAATTGAATGGATCCTAAGCACTGTTAAAATCAATTGGATGATCGACAATTCGAATTTCGCCGCCGATTCGTTTACCTATTCCGTAGTGTAGTACTGTACTTTGGATATCATTGCATCTGAATTCACAATTGCTGCAGGCATACTGGCCATCCTAAGAATATATTCTCTAATTAATAGAAACAGTGAATTTAAATCATCGAGATTTTGAACTTACTATCAGACAACAACCCAACGATTGTGTTTAAATAAATAAATAAAGTGGTGGTGGGGGGGGGGGNACCTGGGATAGTCCACACTCTGAGATGAGTTGATCCATGAAATGGTTTAAGACTAGATTAATATCTAACCTGGGATAGTCCACACTCTGAGATGAGTTGATCCATGAAATGGTTTAAGACTAGATTAATATCTAACCTGGGATAGTCCACACTCTGAGATGAGTTGATCCATGAAATGGTTTAAGACTAGATTAATATCTAACCTGGGATAGTCCGCACTCTGAGATGAGTTGATCCATGAAATGGTTTAAAACTAGATGTTCAACGCACTCCTTGGCTTCGTTGAAGCAACAACCACAAAGAAGACACTCATAATCACGACTCTCCTTAACAAAACATTCATGTGGAAAAAGAATTTTTAAAAAGCTTGATTTTTCTTATTTTTTTAGTCAACAGCAGGGAGGGGCAATGAGCATATGGTTATGGATTCTGAGTATGAAACTAAGGAATTTTACAATTACAAAAAGAATGTCTGAACATTTTTTCCCGAACCAATACATGATTGAACTACTCTTACAATAACAGTATTTGAACCAGCAAAACAAGATCAACTAAGTCTCTGAAATCAAATCAATTCTTACTTTAAGTGCTTCTCTATATTTTTCCAGCGAATAACTGAATTCTACAGTATGCTCCCTGAAATAGTTAATGATTAGTAACTGTTAACTATTGACGGAAAATCTGTAAAAAGCATGAGCTCATGTATTAAAGGGACTGTTAGTGCAGACATGAATTCAAGTGGCCTACCATGAACAGGATGGTATGTCTATTTAGGGTGATCAATATTGGAATTAAGCCAACCGCCCACCAGGAGTAGCTGCGTTTTCACAAAAAAAATAGTGTAATCCAAAATTTCCAAATCGTCCATACGGTTGTAAATTGACGATACCATATTGGAGAAATTACCGCAAGCCCCCAAAAAAATATTTTGAAAATTTATATAGTGTACATCATTTTCTTGGAAATTTTATGCTAAATTCAAATCTGAAAAGCGCTTTTAAAAATATTAAAAGTTAAAAAAGTTTATTACAATATTTTTTTATTGATTTTTAAAATAGTCACAAATTATTCACCCTGAATGTTTATTGTCTATACACAATGATACCTAAACTGTTTATCTACGTGTAAATGATTAATTTTAAATTACATCTTTTCAATACAGAAAAACGACGATATCTTCCTTAATGTTTAAATCATATAATTATATTATATATACACAAATGTTTAGGACTTTAAATTGAGGGTCACTTGAAATTCAGTCGACAGTCCCTTTAAACTACTTGTTTCCACGTATACCAGAGTGAACTAACCTGAGAAAATGTTCGACAAGGCCGTTGGTTGAGAAGGGTTCAACTCTCCTACAGATAGGACAGCTTGTGTCCAGACTACCAGCAATATTGAAGCTCCAAACCATTCCCATACTGTACTTAACCTAGACAGGATTATTATTATCTTTAAAGGGACAACCCTGCATTCAATTAAATAGGATTCGGAGCTCCTAGTCGAAACGTATCCGTGGGCAACGCGGTTTACGCCCCTAGGGAGAAGACTTACAACATGCGGTCTGCCTGAGACAGCTCCATTTCTGGAAACTCTTTAGCTTGATTTAAATACAAGTTTAAATTCCTTCAACGAATAATATTTCAGTACAGGAGTAATATTCTCTTCAGCTTAGTCTATACTTGTACTGTACAAGTTGTACAGGAGTTACAATATAATTCAAAAACAAATCCAAAATTAATTTTCGTAAAATAATAAAAAAACTTTCAATTATTTTTTTAATTACATGAAGGGATCAAGATTCAGAATTTGGATCTATTTTGCTGTATGATCGTGCATTTGAATCCTTTCTTTCTAAGCGTGGGGATAAAGAATTCAGATCCAGTGCTTTGGATCCAATCAAAACGGAATGAATCCAGAGCACTTAAATACTTGGTTCACAAAAATCTAAATAAAAAATTTAAATAAATAGTACATGTACCTTTTCAATATGTGTTGAGGAAATATGGTTTATTAGATCTTCTCTTTGTACGTTATCATCACAGAATACACAGGATAGATCAGGTTTAGACTCCTTACTTTTCATGTTGTATTCCAGATACAGGCCCTAAAAAGACCAAACAAGGCTATTTTCCAATTTTGTGAAAAAACCGGTTTACTGGAACAAATATTTTAATTATTTTCCCTTTTAGACATATTTTCAGCTTAAATCATGTTGTATTTGCTAAAGCAGATTCACAACCGTATTTGCTAAAGAAGATTCACAACCATATTTGCAACAGCAGATTCACAACCATATTTGCAACAGCAGATTCACAACCATATTTGCTAAAGCAGATTCACAACCACATTTTTTAAAGCAGATTCACAACCATATTTGCTAAATCAGATTCACAACCATATTTGCTAAAGCAGATTCACAACCATATTTGCTAAATCAGATTCACAACCATATTTGCGCCATTCAATCAAGAAGCTAGGTTCCCTAGAATCTAAAGAGATACTGCAAAACCCGCACTGAATTGTAACCCAATAAAACCAATAAATTCCCCCTGAAAAAAAAAACTAACCTTGACTGGTATTGGTAAACATATAGCTCCAAAGTGCTCCACCACTTTATCAAGGTCGGAGCTAACAAACATTTTGCAGGTCGGACACTTCCACTCAACCTGGGCAGGATTATAGCTGGAGGAGTCCTTGTAAATCCTTTTTTGAAGATTTTCTTTAAAGTGGATGAGGGCAAGATGACTGTGGAAGGATTTGAGATCTGAGAATCCTTGAGAGCAGATACAACAAGATTCTACAGGTTCGGAAGATCTGTGCTTCTGGGATAAAATCTGAATATCCTCCATCTTGGAGGAACTTTTCCTGGAGCTGGATTCTGCAATCTTTACTGCTCTCTTCATATTGTTTTCAACATTTTCCAGGCTTCGAGATTTTGGAACATTTCCGGAGATAAATTCTTTAGCAAGTTCTGCGAGTTCAAGTTTGATTCCAGACTTGCGTGCCCCCGGTCCCCTATTGACACTAAGGGGTGGAGTTTGCCGGTTGTGGAAAATAACCTGGATCTCATCATCGTCATCGGCTGCAGAAACCGGTTCAGGGTTTAGTGCGGCAGAGGGCTGAGTCGGAGCAGATACCCTGACATTTGCTGGGGATGATTTTTTGCCAGAAATTTTAATCTTAGAGTATGTGTTTTGTGTAGATAAACCAAGGTTTTTATCCGTCTGTGTTTTCTGGGCAGATGGAAGAGGGTTGGAGGATGTAGGTTTTATGGTTATCTCAACCACTCCTTCCCCTACGGGAAACTCAACCTCGTCTAGCGTGGCTTTCGTAGTGTTCGGTTGAGATGGATTCTGTATAATCTCCGGGTTTTCCTTCAAAGGAATAATCTCCGGGTTCACACTCAAAGAAGGATTCTCTGTATTCTCATTAGATGATACCTCTGGCACGGACTCAACAACAGGTATAACAGTATCTTCTTCCTCTTTTTTGCTTTTCTGATATTCCTCTGTAATCGACATTTTCTTAAATTCTGCATTGCCTAGGTTTGGAAGCTTTTCGAGAATCTTTTCTTTTTGTTCAATTTCATCAATATCTTTTGATTCATTCTTTTCTGCCGCCTGAAGACTAGTATTTATTAAATCTGGTTCCTCACATTGTACATTGATCTCAAGAACTTCTTCATCATTTTCCTCGGCCTTGTCTGGTAGATTGGCACACATAATCTGCTCTATTTGCTGATCGGTCTTCACATTTCCTGCTTCTGGATCATTCATTTTGATCTTCTCAGTTTCCAGTTCAACTGTTTTAATCTGATTTGTTTCCAGTTTAACTGTTTCGATCTGCTCTGGTTCCTGGTCAACTGTTTTAATCTGCTCTATTTCCTGGTCGACTGATTTAATCTGCTCTGTTTCCTGGTTGACTGTTTTGATCTGCTCTGTTTCCTGGTTGACTGTTTTGATCTGCTCTATTTTGTCGTCGACTGATTTGATCTGCTCTGTTTCCTGGTGGACTGTTTTGATCTGCTCTATTTCCCGATCAACTGTTTTGATCTGCTCTATTTCCTGGTCAACTGTTTTGATCTGCTCTATTTCCCGGTCAACTGTTTTGATCTCCTCTGTTTCCTGGTCAACTGTTTTGATCTGCTCTGTTTCCTGGTCCGTTACCTTGATTCCCTTCATTTCTTCATTATTTGTCTGAATTGAAGTTTCAAGTTCTGATAATTCAGACTCTAATTTTTCATCATTTGTGTTGACAACATCACCAGACATACTTCCTTTATTTTCAGACTTACGTTCCGATTCAACAGTTGTAATCTCATAAATATCTGGAAGTATTTGCAGAGGTGGAAACAAAAATTTTTCTTTCTCCAAATCAGCCTCCACATCTTCACCTTCAACCTCCACGTCCTCACTCTCAACCATAACATCCTCACTCTCCATAATATCCTCACTCTCAACCATAACATCCTCACTCTCCATAATATCCTCACTCTCAACCATAACATCCTCTCTCTCCATAATATCCTCACTCTCAACCTCCATATACAGGCCGATACTCTCCTCAGACCTAGATATTTACAAGCCAGGTCAAATTAGGTCAATTTAGAGTTTAGTTAAGGTAAGTTTTTATCACTTTCACAATCATCATTAAAGAAAACCCGTCTTTAGATGAAATTGGGGTCGACGCTCCTGAACTAATGTTTTTTGGATACTGTAGCAGCAATAATTCAAGTCTAAATGAAAGTTAAGAATGCTCAAGAATTATGAGGAAAATCCGGGAACAGGAAAACCGGAATAACGGAACCAGTCAGTCTCCTTCCTCAAACACGAGAACTTGTATTCCTGGTTATTAATATATGTTTGTTTACCTATTTAGAATAAACCACATTTGTATACTTGTTCTTACTCTAAAATACCAACAAAAACAAAAAATAATAATAAATATTTAATTATATTAAGAGTAGTTTTACCTTTTTCTATCAGCTAAATACACTTGTGATATTTTACTGAGGGCAGGATTGGATTTGATGAAGACTCTGGGTATTCTTCTGGACTTCTTTATAATATATCCGGAAATCACACACTTTGCAGACTTCATTCTGATGTAACTGTTTCGTTTCCCTGATAAAATAAGGTTTTAATATTTACTTTATTAAACTATCATCTATTCATTGAATTATGTTTAAAAACTACGCTTAACTTTGTAGACAAATGCAGGTAAGTGAACTAAAATTTGAACGGTGTACAGTGACATATTTAGCATGACTATTTTACATACCTATATCCTTTCCCACAAAGCAGGACAGTTGGTGAATAGTTTTAAATGTATTCTTCCATAATTTGTTTAGTTCTTTGATACCAAAGAGAAGCGAGTAATAAAAAATATCACATGGCAGTCATATTATAATAGAATTGATTTCAGTGTTAAATATAGTAAGTAACAGATTTTTTTAACAAAATAAACTGCAAAAAGTTATAAAAATCCAATATATTTAATATATGGAAGAAGACATTCATAACTATTCACCAACTGTCAAGTTTCGTGGGACACCCTGTATAACTTGAATAAACAGGCAACAGCTGATTACCTGAGAATTTAGCTTTAGCTCTCTCTATGCCTCCATGCTCCAGTCCCCAATGCAGCACCATACTTTTCACTGCTTTTTTGCAATTTCTGCAGTACTCCTCCTCCATTTCACATCCAGCTTCCTCAAGCTCACGTTCCAACCTTCAATCAATCAATCAATCAATCAATCAATCAACCAATCAATCAATCAATCAATCAATCAATCAATCATTCAATCGACCGACCAACCAACCAACCATCAAATCAATCAATCAATAAGGAATTCAAAGTTCACGATCAAATGTCTCAGATATTCTAGTTTTATATGAAAAGTGGGTTAACCCCAATATTTTTATATATTTTCATATTTTTTCATTTTATTGTTAGTTCCATTCCAGTTCCTTTGAACTCACCTTGGTGTAAGATGTTTGAATGCAAGATGTGTATAGAGGGCCTGTTGTCCCGTAAATTGTTGGTTACAAAACATGCATCTTTTAAAGGTTTTCGAAATCTCAACAATATCATCATCCATCACCCTTCGGGCTTTCAGCCGTTCCCTAAATAAGTAATAGAATAAGTATGATTTTATGATAACTGACAGTTAAAAAAAACTTTCGTTATACTTTGTAAAAATACAGTATACAGTATACAAAGAATAATCTTGATTATTGATTTTTAGATATTTTACTTACCGTCTTCCTTTTCTCCTTTACCTTGACTTATCTTACTCGTTTAAAACTCTCTTAAAATACCAACCATGTCTAAATTTTTTCTTTTATCTTTCAGCATCTTTGTCTACTACACGTCCTTCTTTATCTAATCCTATTTCTTGTTTTCCTGAATATAGGCCTGCTTTAGCGGGGTGTTAACAAGCATAAATAAATAAGAATGGGTAGTCATAAGCTAACTGAATATATATTTATCTAACACAGTATTTATACAAGATGCAGTACACAAAAATCTAATCAACAACATATGAAGTATGGAGTATGCTGTGTACTACATTTTAGGAATCCAACAGGGGCGCCACAAGACCCCCCCCCCCGACATCAGCGAGTAGAAAAAGGAGCTGATGTATGATCTCTCACAAGCCTCCGAGGCAGGAGGAGAAACTGTAGTAGGTGAAGGGATGGCTTGTCTAGCTAGAGCTAAAGGCCTAACAACAGGATGTTGAGTAGGTCTACCACGGGTTGGAGGAACTGCAGGAACAACAAGATTGAATTGGAGAAAGCAGGCATAGTTCGTCGTTCCTGTTCTCCATGGTCAAGTCCGCACCATATGAACCTATTTCCCGTCTTTCAGCTTTTTAGCATGCTTCCTGTCCTTCTTAAATCTAAACTTACTTCCTGTCCTTCACATCTTGAAGCCACCTCCTCTCCATCACATCCTAAAGTTACTTCCTGTCCTTTTCTAAACATATTTCCTTTCCTCTCTCCTTTATCTAAACATATTGTTGTTGTTGTTATATGTCATATCATCATATCATATCATACAGCTAGGGATGCGTCCAACAGCTCCTTGACCTACAAGGGGTATGCCATCACAATCCCCTATAGGTGAAGGCTTTTCAGCCTGACATAGTTTAAATCCTAACGTCGGACACACGACCAAATTTGAGCCATGTCACCGGTCTGATTCCTTTTGTCAGCTAGTTGCCAAACAGTTGTATTAAATACATATTTAAATGCTGACAGAGAGAATCTCCCTCCCGGTTAACTGAGTGTTTAAAAAGGGTATTCATGAGTTGAAACGAATAATTTTAAAATGAATTGATAAATAAGCTTATAATAAGTTATTGAGTTATAGAGAAGTGATTCATAAAATGAACCGACAAATAGATTATATGATAAATTTAAAATTATATAGAGAGTGGGATTCATTAGATGAATCGACAAAGAAATTATATGAAGGGATTCATAAAATGAATCGATCGTTTTCTACATACCTTAACCATAGTAGCGTAAATGGACATTGAAATTGGTTGTGAAGTTCTTTTAGCCACCAACTGAATGGGGTAAGGTTCGCGCACCAGAGAAGTTTGTTACAACTGTAAATGGACCCGCATCTATACATATTTCGTGCCCTAGCTATCCACACATACTTCCTGTCTTCTATCTTAACATATCTTGTACTTCTCCATCCAAACCTACTTCCGTCCTCCTCAATCTAAACATACTTTCTTTCCTCCCACCTCTATCTAAACCTTCTTTCTGTCCTATATATCCTAAATATACTTTCTGCCCTCCTTTTTATTAACAGGCTTCATTTCCTCTCTCCTCCTGTTAAAAAACTTACTTTCTGTCCTCTTGTATTTTGACTATCTCCGGGAAGGGTATTCCGACTTTCTCCTGCTCTTTCATTCGACTCGTGGCACGTGTCAGGTTTCGTTTCTCTATCAGAGTAGACAGGAACTCCACGTGCTTACATCCTAACAATCAATAAATTTTTTTACCATTATTATTTTCATTATCATAAAAAACGGACAAGATTGCAATTCACTAATGAACAAAATAATACATAGAACATTTTTAATAGAAATCAATCAATATTTTTTTGATTGTTACGACCAAAGACTCTTAAATGATTTTAAAAATACTTAACGTTGACAATATTAAAGTTGAATACCTAGATGAATCACAGCTCTTTCAGGATTTTTAAATTTGCAAATACATCCCGTCTTCGGGCACTTTAATATAGCCCCTCCGGCCCCTCCCGTATCTCCAGTTTTTCCAATTCCTCCCGTCTCTCCAGTTTCTGCAATTCGTCCAGTTCCTGCTCCATTGTCATTTGTGAATTTATCGAGAAGATCTTTGTAGAAATGTTTGAGACAAAGATGTGTATGATAAGCCTCTTTATCCAGGAAATTACATCTAAAAAATTAAAAACATTTATTAAATATAAATGTCCAGTGTCCTGTACAAAGGCAATCAATAAAAATATTTCAAACTTCATGTTCTCAAGATTTTACATTTCAATGGATTGAAAACTGTGGACAAGGGTATCGATTTACATTGTAATTTATTTTTTAGTTTCCACCTTGACACGTGTTTCCCGGGGAGTAAGGAATAGAAGGGAGATATAACTGACGCGGTTCTCCCTACCATATGATTATGCATGCTTTGCAGACGGTACTTCATTTGTATAAGAAATATTCAGAATAGGTTATAATATACGCGGTAATTGTACACATCAGACAAATATTTCTTATTCAAATGAAGTACCGTCTGCAAAGCATGTATCATATCATATGGTAGGGCGGGCCGCGTCAGTTTTATCTCCCTTCTATACCTTACTCCCTGGTGTTTCCCCTGTTCCTACATGATAAATGAACTGTGGCTTATTGCAGAAACAATGCGTCAGAAATGGGTATTATGACTGAGCCTGCGTCCGGCATTTGGCATTGAGACCTAATTTCCAATTAGGTGAGAAATGCACATACGGACAGAAACTTTAAAAAGTTTTGAACATTTTCCATAAATACAAAAGAGAAACAAATAAAAACTCTAAAATATGAGGTCTGGTATAAATAAGATAAAATGATATAGAATTAAACAAAAAATGTAAACAAATAAGAAAGACTTACGAGTGACAATAAGAGCATGTCAACCTCCCTGGGGCTTCTGCAGGAACTAGTTCAGCTAGTATCTCTATATCTGAATCCTCACTCTAATAATAATAATATTTATACAGATTCTAGTTCAGCCAGTATCTCTATATCTTAATCCTCACTCTAATAATAATAATATTTATACAGATTCTAGTTCTGCTAGTATTTCTATATCTGAATCCTCACTCATTGAAAATAATAAATTTACAGATTCTAGTTTAGCTAGTATCACTATATCTGAATCCTCGCTCTTTAATAAAAATAATACATATACTTTTAGTTCAGCCAGTATCTCTATATCTGAATCCTCACTCATTGAAAATAATAAATTTACAGATTCTAGTTTAGCTAGTATCTCTATATCTGAATCCTCACTCATTAAAAATAATAAATTTACAGATTCTAGTTTAGCTAGTATCTCTATATCTGAATCCTAACTCATTAAAAATAATAAATCTACAGATTCTAGTTCAGCTAGTATCTCTATATCTGAATCCTAACTCATTAAAAATAATAAATCTACAGATTCTAGTTCAGCTAGTATCTCTAATACTAGATGAATTAAATACTTTTATTACAAGTTCTAGTTTTAGCTAATCTAAACAATAGTAGAAGTTAGAAAGGAGTTATCGATAGAAACTTCTAAGAGACAAAATAGTTTTTACATGTCATGCAATAAAAATATTTTTTTTGAAGTAACAGCTAGGTCCTCAACATTTCATTAACGATTTACTGATTATATTTGAACAAATAAATTTTTTATTTCAACAATTTTTCTTAATTTTTAACTTTTTTTAGGCTGAAACTTACTTGTCATTACTCTCTTATTAGTTAACAATTTTTATTTGTGTTTTGAAAGCAAAATATTTGGTTTTGGTTGATTAAATCCGAATCCGTGGATCCGACTATTTTTTGGTGGATCCGGATCCCGAGAGCCAAAATGTTGCATATCCATGTACTGTACCTCCGTTATCTGTTGTACAGGGATTATTATAGTATTTCCATTCTGAGTAATTGCCAACGATCTCGTCTCCTCCTCCTTAAACAAATCAAAATAATCTTTCAATTTCTACATGGTTATCATCTTATTTCCCACTACGTTAGGTTTTTGTAGTTTAATTTGTATGTGAATTTTTGGATAAAATTTTTTATCCAAAATCCAAGAAAAGTAACCAATTAAAACTGAAGACTACTTCTTATTAAAAAAAATTCCACATTTCCCCCCCCCCTTATGTTAGAGATATTTTGGTTTAAATGCTGAAGTTAAAAAAAAAAAATTTGAGTACAAAGTGTTATAAACAGATACAAACGCTTACTGGTACAAGTCCATAATACAACTATTCCTCCCCCATATAGTCGAAAATTATTGATGAAAATCGGAATTGTTTTAATGTTTTTAAAGTAACATTACTGATTTGGGGTTAGTGATGGACTACCTTTCTATCTGTCTCACTATCTGATCCATCCAGTAAATCCTCTATACAGGAGGAACTCTCCTCATCCTTTAAACTCAACCTAGACAACAAATATTGAAACTCAACCTGAACAACAAATATTGAAATGAAACTCAACCTAGATAACAAACATTGAAACTCAACCTTAACAACAAATATTGAAGCTCACCTGACAACAAATATTATAATTCAACCTAGACAAAAAATATCAAGAAGTTAAAACAACAAATGAATCTAAATAATAAGTCCAAAATAAATATAAAAATAAGGCTATTACTACAGCACTGAATTGAGACGCGTAAAGTTGGAGAAAAAGAATTTAAAGGATGCTCAAGAAAGTCTAAGCTTTAAACAAGAACAGGGACGGAAATTAATGAATTGAAGAGAAGTCGCTGAACCGGCGGTTAGTAGTTTAACAACCTCTTAAAGTCATTTAATTCGGTCCCTGGACGATTTATAAAATATTTTTTATTGAGATTTGTACAGATTTCACTTAATATTGTATACACATTACTATTGTACAAATTTGAACACAGTTCATAGGTTTGACAGCAGGATTAATTTTAATATTTACTTGTACTCTGAGTCTACATCACTTTCTTCGGACTCATTCTCCAGGTTGTCCAGGAACTTCCGGGAACTCGTCCTCACGGGACGCTTCTCCGGCTCCGGTTCCATCCTTCAGGACGGAAAATGAAGTTCTAACATAGGTAGAATATCCCTTAGTTTTTATTACATAGTTTACAAAGAGTCGCGTTCATAATGTAGTAGTTCATATTTCATTTTTTGAATTTTGAGCGAAACATACATTTTTAGATAGTTGATTCAAAATTCATAATTCATAATCATTAGTTTTGGTTTATACCGTCCGATGGGGAAAAAAGCATGGGGGTATCTAAATCTGCAGTAATTTTACATCTATTTATCGTATTTTTTAAAATATTATGATTATTACTACTGAAATAATTTGATTTCAAATAACTACCTATCAAATCCTTATTTTCTGTGTTTGTTCAATATTTCTCTCCAATAAACCATTTTCATTGAATCTGAAAGAAATCAGTTCTTTAACATATCACAGCTAACAAAATTTATAACAAGTTTTAAACTAGTTTCCGTCTAAATCCTAAGTTCCTAAGTAATCCGTTCAGAGCTCTTCGGGTAAAGTCTGTCAACCTCGGCGCATTTTTCACAATCACAATATTTGAAGTTTTCCCTTTTCTTGGTCGTGAACTCCCTCTGTCGTATCTTACTAGGTTTCTCCACAGGTAGGGTGGAGGATCCGAAGAAATTTGGATCTAGACCGTAGAGGTAGATCTCAAGGTTGTAGACTTCACTTACTAGTACATCAAGTTCTTTATTCAGATCAAATTAAATGGAATAAAAACAATGAGTTTGATTTATTCGTGGTTTTGATTAAAGGGATTTCAGGAAAACAGATTTCTTAATACTTAAGGTTTCGTTTCCTAGAAGTCAATACTTCAAAACTAATTTGGTTTCTTGAAAGTCAATAATTTACAATTGGTTTCGTTTCTTAGAAGCCAATTTACTTAAAAAAATATTTAAAAAAGTAAATCATTTAAGAATGTATGTTTTTATGATTAAAAAAAGCTTTAAAAACATATGAGCATTTTGCTTCGGTTTCCATTCTTTAAGGATTGGCGAGAGTATAATATAGGGTATCAAAAAGAGTTGAATACGTAAAAAAATCGTAGATAAAAAAAAATGTTTTTGTTTTGTACTTTAAATATGATTTAGAAAAATTAAGATTTATAAAAACTCAAATCTAAATTCAGGAATGTGTGTTCCCTAGCACATGAAGAGGAAGAAGAGCATAATTAGAGAAGTATCGGAGAATCCAGACAAAATTTTCCGGTAGAATCTAAATATAATGATAATAATAATAATGATAAAATAAGACTGTGGTACGTTTAGCCCTCCCCCCTCAGTCTCATGAACATTTCATGTGAATATTTAAAATAAAATTTGATTGGTTGATTTTTAAATCTTGTTTTTTTTTAGTTATAGACTATACAGGCTACAAATACATCCAAGTTTTATTGCAATTCACTAGTAATGATGTTCTCATATTAAGTTTACCCAGGTGAGGGGGGGGGGGTGCTCGGTCTTCATAAACTCCAAAATTAACGCCTGAACCACAGAGTGATATCTCAACACCGCATTAAAACATCTCAACCCCATGAATGCTATATGAACCCCGCAAATTAGGATCTAAACCCTTATGAAGATTCCAAAATGCTTATTATTTCTTTATTACATTTTAATAATAATTAACAAAAAGCTTTTAAAACTCCCTTTGAATCCCAAGAGAGTTTAAAGAATAGATGCGTCTAAATATCCAACCTGTAGTAAACTATGTAGATCTCGTTCACAATGGATTCGTTTCACATATTCTCTAGGATAGGTGGCAGCACTAGCCAGTCGGAGAGGAATATCCCAGTATCTAACAATTATTATTATCATTATCAGGCAACCCATCATTTAATGAAATAGGGGTTGAGGGTCGACGCTCATAGCCACCGCAGTGTATCCATAACAATATGCCAAGACCCGGGAAGTCTTGTGTAGATTATCCTTAATCGCGAAAGCTTGATCTCGACTCTCGATATCCAATGAGGGAACTTTTAAATGTGAAGATCAATGCTTGATCCCTCAATTAAAGTTATCATTGGAGGGTGCGATCAACATTCAAAACTGTAAATCGAAGAAGAATTAATTTTAAGATTCAGAGAACATTTTTTGTAATTAAATCATATCATACTTTACAAAGATTGATTAAAGCATCCTTTGAAGGGATCTGAATTTCCATTCTTATGCTGACTTCGGGGTTTCAACCCGATCTTTAATACAAATGAAAGGTTTACAAGTAAAAAAATATAACTATTTGTTTTTCTTCTTTTTTGTTTAAACAATAATATTCTAGAAATCAGGCGAAGTTCCGACTATAGGTCACAGTTCTTTTCTTTCTCTTATGAAATTAATTTTTTCCTGTGAAGCATAATCAATCTTAGGTTTTAATAGAAACAAGGCTTCCAGAACATTTGGTGAGTGGTGACCCTGTTCCAGTGTTCCAGTGACTACCTTAGCGTATTAATGTGGCTTTTCCTGCCGCCATTTTTTCTTTATAATTGTAAAACTCAAAAGGACCTCACTAGTCTCCTGGAGTTTGTAATAACTCTTGTAATAATAGAGATAAATGGTGCTAACTTTGCACCTATATTCTTTTAATCCATAAGGGGCATAATAAACAGACAGACAAGCCAAATTTATATATAGATTGTACTTTGTTCACGAAAATCATCTTCGTGAAACTTTTGAGAAAGTTACGTAATGTGAAAATAAAGAAATTTTTAAGACGAAATTTTGATCCAACTGATGCCCACCCCAAACTAAATCAAGCACATTTTCTTGAGCTATTATTGAAAACTATTAACCAATATAAAGACGGTATTGGTATACACATAAAGTTTTGTACACTTTAAAAAATCCACAAACCTTGCAATATATTGACATATCCTCGGAGGTCATAGCCATTAGGTCATTCAGACTAGAGGCCAATCTCTTGTTCTTAGTTTCGTGGATAAGTGCGGCCGTCTTCTCCTAGTTGAATAAATTAACATTAAAGGGACTGTAAACGTACTTTACAGCGACCCTAAACACTAAGATGGAAATGCTCGATTTATAACATTACCCTTGTAAATCTAATTAAAACTGTGGAAGAAAACGTTGTTTTTCTGACTCGAAGTGTTTGTTTCTGTGAGGTCACTTGATCAGGAAAAGCTTTTAAGTGTGCAGTTGTAAATCGGGCATAACCATCGTTGCATGGAGGGTCACTTGAAATTACGCTAATAATAATAATAATAATAAGACAATAACAATTAATAACAAATGCATTGTTTACTAATGGATGACTAACCCATACCTTCAACGGTTGCAGGGTTTTCATTTTCTCTTTTTGTGCTAAAGGTTCGGCTCCCAGAACAGTTACAACATATTTCAAACCATCAAATACATCTAGAAGAAAATAGTGTCAAATAATAGAGTTTCGAGAAAGAAGGTACAGGGTGTCCCACACCATACTGGAAAGTATAACGCTCTAAATTGGTATTTTTGGGACTTAATGATTGACCTTTAAAACAATGCACAAGGATAATTTTAACACTTCATGAAGAAAATATAGAGTTTTGTTTTCATTAAAGCCTAACTTGAAGATAATTAAAAATTAAATAAGCTGATTTTCATACAAAAAAAAAACTCACTTAGTTTTAGAATATTTTACTTGATTTTGTGTTATGTTGTTTGCGAGCTGTATTCTCTAGAACAGTTCTACTCTCATCCATAGATCTCAGGGTTGGAGCAGGAGTTCCGGGTCCTCTGACAATCAATCAATCAATCAATCAAATTAAATTTTTAAAAAAAAAACACGAATCAAATCAAATCAAATCAAATAATATTAAAACAAATCAGTCAAACACTCAAACAAATGAAGTAAACCATTTAATCTAACAGATCAAATCAATCAATCAAATCAATTAACCTATAATCCATAATGTACAAATTTCTATCCATGATAATAAAATCAAACATTTGATTGTTGCCACATTTTGGAAAAAAATTTGTGCTAAACATATTTCCTCACTTCATCGATCTAAATTGTTCTCTCATAACAAAATCGTCAGCCGTCAAGTAATCTAATCTGAAAATAAAGAATATTTCCTCAACCATAATTTTATAACCACACAAAATGTTAAATGTTAATGTAAAAAAACGAAAAAGATGTAAACAATATGATACAAAAAGGCTGCTAAACAAATTAAATAAAAAAGTGTACCTTAGTTTTGATTTTCTAATCCAGTCTAATACATTGAAGAATTTCCTGTCCTCCCCGACCAACTTCTTATTCAGGGTTTTGGCGTTGTGGTCGTGAATATACTCCTAGTAGAAGTTAGGATTAGAAAATTATTGATGTTCAACTTTTACGTAAAAATCAAATGAAAATATTTCTCTCTTATTTATCAAAATTGTTCTCTACCTGTTGTCCGTCTAACCCACAGTAGAACTTTAAAGTTACCAGGATGAGGGCAAGGATTCTAAATCGGAATAAAATAAGTCACATAATAACTATTGTAAATCGGCAGATACATTAAGTATGGCGGAGCAAGTCAAGGCGGATACCTGGCGGAGACGGATGGAAGGGCGCAGTCTATCCATGTTGGATTAGTACAGGAGTAAGCAGGAACACGGCAGGTTAGGCTAAGTAAATCACATTTTGAGAATATTCTAAATATCAGGATATGATTGACTCGGAAAATTATTTGTAAACCCACTGATTTTACTTCAAGATTTTGCACAATTATAAAAAATATAAATGCTACAAAATATGGCTGATCCACGGCACTAAAAATAAGAAATATTTTAAATCCCGGCCTGATGATCTCTGTTGATATATATTCTGGTAGGCTTAGGTCTTCCACATATCGATCCAAGGTACTCCGCGTACAGTCGTGTGTAGACAGAACAAGTCTAATATAAACAATAATATTTATTGAGTCGCACATTTTACTATTTTACTGTACATAATTTACATTCTAAGTTGTTAAAAAAAAGAGAAAATTTTCCATAGGAAGCTAAAATTTGTTATATATAAATTTTTTTTTTAATTTAAAAAAATTTAAGTCATAACTGTGTTTATCCCAGGGGTGGAAATGATTTTTGATTCTCAGGGGAATATAAAAAATTGGTTATCCATACTTCATAGGCAAGTATTTGATACTTTTTACACATAAGTTCATCTATTTCCCTAATTCAGGGAATACACCTGAAAAAAGTAGTGCAAAAAAATATATTTGGGGGGTAAAAAATAATTTTATAAAGGTGGAAAATGATTTTTCAAAAAAAGTAAGCACCTCTCCAGTAATTTATAAATAAGCTTACAAATATCTTCAAATTATTAAAATAAAAAACAAACACTCACCTTTTATTGTTCGTTAAACCGACGAAAGAAGCAAGCTTCAAAGCTTTGGATCTTAAGTTCTCCTCCTTCTCAAATACAATCCCCTGGAAATACGAGAGAATTAGAGACAAATATTATTTTGTTAAGCCCCCCCCCCCCCTAAAACATAATAGATGTTTGCGTGGGGGACTTAATTTTGAAGAAAATCCTTTGGAAATACGTGAGAACTATAAAAAAATATGTGCGTGAGAGATGGGGTACGTTCACCAAAAAGTAGCCTCACATCAAAAAGATTATACCTCGACCCACTTTAAGATATAATTCTATCTACATATCTAGACTGTTCTGTGCCAGCGTACATTATTAAGATATGTAACTGAGGTTGTTAAAAGTTTTAGTAGTTTTTAAGATGCAAAGAAGAAATGTACTGCTTGATACCCCATTACATCAAAACTTGTCAATGTTCCACTGCATATCCATGAATTATCAAATCAAATCAAATCAAATCATATTATGCAGGTATGGCTTGAGGCGTCCTTTGGACGAAAAACTTACCGATTTGAATCCTGAATAAAACCTTCTCTCTGATGCCATAAGCTTGTAAGATTCTGAATCAAGAAACAGAATTCCAAAACAAAATCAAAGAAAAGTTTTCAGAAATATTCGAATTGCAATACAAACAAAATGTGAATATAAAGTTTTTTAAAATTAAAGACAGAATAAAGTTTCTTTCCTGGTAGAGCCTGAAGTGATGTACTATTAATAAGCATCTCACTACTAAACATGTAGGCTATATCAGACGTGTTTAAATCAGTTCCTGCAACAACAACAAAATGAGATGGTAAAAAATCCGAGGCACAATGCACATTTTTTTCAAGAATGACTTTTATTGGTGAAAAAATAAAACTTTATATACCTTACCAATTTTTTCAGTAATGTTCAGTAAAAAATGTTTTAATGAACAAATTTAGTATAAAACAAATTAGAAGTACCTGGGACGCAAGTAGCAGCTAAAACCAGAACAGCTTTTAAGTTCTCCAGGCTTAGATGAATCCAGGTTTCTAATTTGTCGGTTCCGGAGTACTCCAGACTACTCCTGCTCACGAGGGACTCCAGGTCCGACAGGAGTTCGTAATTACTCCGTCCGGACCCGTCAGAGAATAGAGAGTCATTCACACTTTGCTGATTTTCTTCCTCTTGGTCCTCGTATTCCAGTTCTTGGTCTTGGTGTTCTTCTTGATCATTTTGTATATCCTCCTCTTGTTCTTCCTGAACGGAATCCTTTACAGTATATTCCTCTTTTTTCTGATGTTCTGGTTCAATCCGTTCTTCGTGGTTTTCATAATCCTCCTCTTCTTTGTCATCATCTTGCTCATTGGGCACTTCATGTCCTTCATGTTCTGCATGCCCCTCATGCTCTTCATTCTCGGTATGCTCTTCGTGCTCTTCCAAATCTTCCAGTTCTTTCCGTTTTCTTTCATCTGTAAAAATACAAAGAAGACATAATTCTAACAAAACTATATTCTTGGTGAACAGTACCTAACAAAAAAAAACATAGAAGGCGATCTTTTGAAAAAATATTGAACTTTGAATTTCTCTGCAGGACTGCCAAGCGGGTTTAATCAAAAGTTCGTTACAAAAAGCGACAAATCCGAAATTAAAATCAATATTGGTACTAGATAAATCCATAAAAACTTACTTTTTTCTGTAGACAGTTTTGACGGTGTGTCGCCAGCGACAAAGCTCGCCGAAAAGGACTAAAAACATGAACATATCCATTAGATTTCAATTGTAAACCCCTTGTCAAACGGTGAGGTCGTAAAAGGTGAGAGAAAAATATACCCACCTTGTAGAAAGCTCGACGTTTCTTGTCCCTTTGTTTAAATATTTGTCTTTCCGTTAATCCTTCATAATCGTCATCATCATCATCATCATTATATTCATGATCAACCTGATCTCCTTTCCGCTTCAAATTCCTAGAACAAAACAGGTTAGTCTTTATATTCAATCTCTCTCCCCCCCCCCCCCATCCATGACACATTTCACTCTTTTTCAAAAGTCTCCTTTTAATTTTGTGTACATGTCGTCGTTAAAATAACAAGTTTAATAATTGCGTACAGAAGCAGAAACTGTAAACCCGGAAGAATTAGCTGAATGAGTATTTATAGAAGGGGTTGAAGAATATAAGTTCAGTCCTGCCTACCATCTCTCGGGGTTCACACAATGCGATTATTGATTAGCCATGTTTTTATCATTTACAATAAAAATACAATAGTTATTTAACTCTTCTAAATAAGGTACAATTAACACCCCCCAACTTAATACCTTGAGATGACTCTAGGTTCGACAAGGTTTGCAGGACCACCAAAAAACAGCCATTTATCTCGATAGTTCATGGTGGACACAGATCTTCTATCCTCATTCATTTCACTGAAAATAAATAATTTCTACAATACTATTAATTCATTAACTAAATTTTATAACAATGAATTATCAAGAAAACAGTGCTTAGGATCCATTTTTATTTTGATGCTGATCCGGATTTGGATCCTGAATCTGCAGTGGAAAAAAATGGATCCGGATCCAGGTTTTTTCCATGAAATTTACTGAAATTGTTGTAACAAAGCAGAATTTTCAAATTTTGTCTTATTTTTGTTGGTTATTTTTATGCTATAACTTGATAAACCATTCAGAAATCAGGATATTTTTATAATCTCTCTTTTTTCAATAGATCAGATTTGGGGTTTGAGAGTAAATATTTTTTTGCGCTTTTTTGTTGATATTTTGCCCCTTGGATCCGTATATTTCCAGAAAGCTAAAATCCTAAGCACGAAAGAAAAGGCATTAAAAACTCATTTCACGTGCACCCGCAATTATTGGCAATAACGAATTCTTATCCTAAAATATTGGGGTAAAAATCTATATCCCTCATTTTGTTGGTTTTGCTGAACCTACCCTTTTGGAGGGAGAAAGGCAACGCCGAGGCTTTTGAGATATCGGGACCAAACATCGAGCGCCGGCTGCCGAATATTCTTAACAGAAGATAATTTTTTATAGTAATAGTGTAATCAATACAGAGGCCCCATAGTAAATATAGATAAATTACGTTGTACATTGTCCATATAGCTAAATACGTTCACTAGTAAATACGTAAATCATGTATTGCAATTAACCTATTCTAGATATGCCGATATATAAAACTCCGCCAAACCCATATTGTGATTGCGTTACTAAGTTATATATACAGCGCATAACTTTTAATTACGCGCTGTTAAGTCCCAACTGTAATCTAACATATAGAAGTATACTCAGTTGATACAGGGACTCCGTACTGATTACTACGAGAGAAAAATCGTTCCGATCGATATCAATAGCGTAAGAGGTTGTGCCCAATGGTTTGGCATTGATAGAATAAGAGCTTGTGTCCATGTTGACATTGATCGCTGTTCCTCGTTGAAACATACGAGCTGAGATCGTGCCCATTGGTTTGGCATTGGTCGATTTAGAGCTTGTGTACATTTTGACATTGATAGCTGAGCTTATGTCCGTGTTTACATTGATAGCTAACTAATTGTACCTGGATAGAAACGGGTTTGAGATCCCCTTATGGAGTAGGGAAATTACTACATTTGTGATGCACATATATGAGTTTATGAGTTGATAAGAATGAGATCTGCAAGAAGCCCCATGTTGAGCAACCCAGACCGCCTACAGTAGTAGTAGTTTGTTTGTTTGTCCGATCATACCATGGGAAACCCTAAACCGATTTGCCTCAAATTTTGATTGGGGAACTCGGGAGACCCACGGGAATGTTCTAAGCTTGATTTTGAGATTCTAAGTTGAGAAGGTCGACTTAAAAAGAGAAAATTTCGTGTCCAGGTAAAATCGTACAAGTGCAGGTAAATGGCGGGAGTAACTTTTAGTAACCTGGGCCACGCTGGGTTCCCAAACTAGTAAGTATACTGTTTAGAGTTATTTGAGTTATTGATATATTATTGATAATGTATATTTTCACAAATTATATAAGATACCAAGTTAGTAATAATAATAGCAATTAAGTATATATTTTTGTGAGGGGAATACATTTTTTGACATCAATCTCGCACCCTTTTGGTACTTGAGAAAAAAGTATCATTATTAAGTGAAAAAATACTCGTTTTTCCTTAATGTACAAGGGAGAAAAGGATTTGAAGAGAGGGAGGGGAATTTTTTTAAGAGATTTAGAGAAACTATAGAACCCTAGAGAATTGATATATACCTTAAACCCGTAGCTCTCCAGCTGGTCAACCCAATGGGCCAAAATATGGGTCAACCCTTCAGCAGTACTCCAACGGTCAACCTCTGCGGTTTTTCTCGTCTTGGAATTTGGTTCCTCTTAAAAAATCTTCTGTCAATAAATTTCAGTTTCTAATTGATTGATTAACAATTATTACACAGCTTGCTTTAGGCGATAAAATACAGCCTTCTTCTTGGCATTATTTGTTTGCTTAATCAATTTTTATGCTGCAATACTTTTACGGAAGACTCTCTAGTCTCTATGCCCATAATATTTTCCCCATGAAATGTCCAATATTCAAATTACCTCAGTAGCTAAAGGCATCAAAGATTTTGACAACCATTAAATTGACGATATATAAAAAACCTCAACCACTCTAAATACTTACTTTCTCCAATTCTGAGTGTCTTGTTCATCATTCCCATAGCATACATACCATCTTCATCAATAACCATCTCAGCCCCCAGCTCCTGGTATACAAATATCATTCCCATAGCATACATACCATCTTCATCAATAACCATCTCAGCCCCCAGCTCCTGGTATACAAATATCATTCCCATAGCATACATACCATCTTCATCAATAACCATCTCAGCCCCCAGCTCCTGGTATACAAATATCAGGCTCTGTTTCTTATACATTTTTAAACTTTATATGATTTAAATAATTGACCCTCAATGTAGTAACATTGATGATTAAAAACAGTTCCCTGTTAAGATCGAACCATAGTAATCGGGCGTTCCCCCTTATAGAGGGTCAATTACAAATATTTAGCATCATGAATTACTTGTTTTACCCGAGGGTAATTTCCTAGCGAACGAATATTGGACCCCTGAAAAATATGTAATCATGTACAAAATTGATAGGAGGGGCGGGGGGGGGGGGGCCCAAAAATCGTTCTCTAGGACGGACCCTACCTGAGACTGTGTTTGACACATTGTGCAAAAGTAAAATCCATTTCTAAGAATATAATTTTGGCTTTCACATACAGTGCACTCCGGACCCCTCCGACCCATCTCTGAAAGTAGTAGATATATAATATGTTAGTGTGTACAATTGCGTAAATTCAAACAACGGAACGTAGCTGACGTGAAAATTAATGCTATACGTTCTCTGGAAACTATGATCGATTGATTAAAGTTTATTTCTATGTGCATCTAAAGGCGAGCACCTTAAATGCTGGAAACTATCAAGAAAATATTCGTCGTACTTGCACCTAGTGCATAAAACAAGTGAAATGTTAATACGAATTTTCTTTATATAAATCGGACATATAGAACCATGGGTACTGGAATAGGGTATCGCATTGAGGCCCGCGCACGAATGAAAGGTCGATACGGTACGGGGTGACGTCTGACGTCACTGATTAAAACTATTGGTGAAAAATTCTCAGACCGCCAAAGAAATCCCAATCACAAGTATGCGTATACTCGCCTACAACAGATCTTATCCCAAGACAGTTCTAGGACCAGTGTCCACTTTGTGCCCTGTACCGGGTTATGATGTAGGTTAGCACCAAATCTAGAATTGTATGACTACCTTACCCTATTCCAGTACCCATGTATAGAACTAAATAACTTAAACAAAATAAAAGCAGGGGTCACTTTCTTTGCGCGTGTCGATCCATGGAAATCTAGAAAAAGATTGAGAAATATTGACGAACAAATGATTTATTGATTGATTGATAAACGTTTATTTCTTCACACCTTGTGACTGGTGTCTTAAATCTACGAACAAATGTTATGAATTCCAAGCGCATTGTAAATTTACGGCTTTATTTTAAAAGTTGTAAAGCTGTCAGTGTCATTTGCTTGAAGCTGCATGGCAATGTCCTTACAAGCTGTGTCAACAAATTGCGCAATTTGAAATCTTGCGTACTGACTACTGAGCCCGTGGTCGTGTAGTTCACGCACTTTAGAGGACGATAGTTTGGCCGCTAGATGTCTCTCATATAAAGTGTCTAATCTACAGTGGCGTAAATCCTGGGGGTAAATACCCCCCCCTAGAATCCTGGGGGTAAATACCCCCCCCTAGAATCCTGGGGTTAAATACCCCCCCCCTAGAATTCTAGGGCTAATTACCCCTGAACATATTTTCAGGCCCTGAATAGCAGGGGTTACACCATTCCCGAGAAACCATGTTACGTATCTTACCAAATTTCGTTTTCTGTTTCGTTTCTGTTAAAAAATTCGGCGCGCTTCGCGCGCCAAATTAAAAATATTTACCCCCCCCTACAGAATCCTTATTTACGCCCCTGCTAATCTATCAATAAGAGTTTTGCGTGAGACATCTAGCGGCCAAACTATAATCCCTACAAGTACGAGGAAACCTAGCTGCAAGTTTTAACCTTAGCAGCTTGGCTAGCATGCATACAAAGATTGACAGCTTGTGTTTCGCAAATAATATATATCCGTATCAAATGCCGCAACTTAACTTTAACTGAAATTCTGAAGTTCTGATCAATCAAACATCGCACCCCTCTGATATTTTTAGCTTTATTTTTCAATCTATATTGTGATTTATATGATTGTAATTTTTTACATTTTTTGGTGCTCGCCTATGGATACGCATAGAAATAAACGTTAATCAATCAATCAATCATGTTTAGCTTATTATTTTCTAGGGTTCACCGACAAAGGGTCAAACGACACAGGGTCAAACGACAAAGGGTCAAACGACAAAGGGTCAAACGACACTGGGTCAAACGACACTGAGTCAAACGACAAAGGGTCAAAAGCGCGACAAAGGGTAAAACGACATAGGGTCAAAAAATGCGACAAAAATACATCTGTACTACAGTTAGTATTTATTTATTATTATTTAGGGTTAGGTTAGGTTAAGACACTTTCTGGGCCGAGCGCTGCGGCTAGGACAGGCTAGGGGGCCGAGCGCTGCGGCCACGGGTTAGGTTAGTTAAGACACTTTCAGGGCCGAGCGCTGTCGGTGAATCTTTTCTAGGATTCGTTTCATTATTAAAATGTCAATCTGTTCAATTTCTAGCTTTTTCAAATCTTAACTTCTGTTGGCTATTGGAGAGGTCGTGAAAGGTAATTTATCCGTAAATGTCCAAAATATCGATCGGCCTGGTAATTGTCCAAATTATTTTTATATAAATCTCTATAAATGATTCTAAGCGATACAACGAAAAAAAAAACAGAAAAACTGCAAATCACAGGGTTTAGCATAGAGTAAGATATTTACATATAAGTTGTGGGTCTCGCGTAAAAGAAGTGTTCACCATATGGTTTATAGGGTTACCCATAGTAAAGTTTTTAAGTCAATGGCGCAACACATAACGTTGGGGTGTATGACTTTTAACTGATCTTGAGCAGAACAAAATAATAATAAAAGACTATGATAACACACTGGAAATAGATTTATTGATATTTCGTGTTTATTTGTATGGGTGAGCTTGTGCCCACAACCCTTATCCAAAAATAAATTATTAAAGTTAAAAAACATATATAAGTTGTGGGTCTGTCCTAGAGAACGATTTTTGGACCCCTCCCCCTCCTATAAATTTTGTACATGACCATTTTTTTCATCAAATTTATCCATATTTATTTTTTATTATTTTAGGGTTAGGTTAGGTTAAGNAAAACTGTTGAAAATCATGTACCAAATTGATAAGAGGGGGGGGGGGGGTCCAAAAATCGCTCTCTAGAAAATTACCAAAGTTGTCCAAATGAAACTTACTTCAGCTTTCTCAAAAATGTGTAATTAAGATAAGGTAATTTCGGTTTAACTATTAATAACACTAATAAATATTGGTTCCCAGTTCTAAACGTTTTCGGGCAGAAATTTCAATTTTTTATTATCAAGAAGGCTCAATCCTAGTTTTAGATAATTTAAAAAGACGAGATATAGAGAAAACTTTAGTTCATTGATTATATTACTCATTCATGCCAAAAATTATAGTGTTATACAGTGAATCCCAGATATGAATACATAGCGAGAGTTTTGTATAATTTCGTATTCTCAACCTATTAAAGACCAAATGGCGAGGAAAAAAATTAATAACCCTGAAATATGAATTCAATTAATATACTATTGAAATCATTTTTCCCCGGCATTTGATTTTAAATATGTAATACGACATTATAAAAAACATTTGCTATGTATTCAGGTAATTTCTTAATAAACAGAGTAAATATGCATTTAAAAGCAGGGTTGAATATAGGCTAAATATTATGAAAGTTAATAAAAGTACTTCATATCTTCATATTGTTGATCTGGTGATTATGCTTGAATTCAGTTCAGATTTCTTAACATACGATTTTTAGACCCCCTCTCCCCCTCCTATCAATTTTGTACATGGATCTCATATGTAACACAAGGATATAATAGGTCATGTGGCCGCAGCGCCCGGCCCCCTTGCCTGTCCTAGCCGCATTGCTTGGCCCCATAGTCTGTCCTAGCTTCAGCGCTCGGCCCCCGCAGCGCTTGGCCTAGAAATTGTCCTAACCTAGCCTGAAATAATAAAAAAAAATCTTGCTGAAAATGAAAATAAGTGTCATGTACAAAGTTTTATTACATAAATCTTTATTGGTTCTCAGCTATACAACGAAAAAATAACGGTAAAATAAAATCATAGAGTTTTGCTTAAAGTAAATTATTTATATATCAGAAAATGTATTTGTATTTGATGTTAAAAAAGACACATTTAAAAAGAATTCTTGTTAAATTCGGCGAAAACAGAAAAGGACATTTGAACAAAAATGAAGTGATCAGCATAAGCGTACATTGGGGAAAGTTGTAAGCGAGGTAGTTTAAATTTCTGAGATCTGGAGACAAAATGTGAAAGAAGCACATTCAAATAGGACTTTTTCATGTATAAATAAGTCATTTACAAAATGGATAGGAGGGGGAGGGGGCCAAAAATCGTTTACTAGGACGGACCTTGTATTCATTTATCTGGGATTCACTGTTGGTAGTTTTATGAAATGTTTGTGTACTTTCTTGATGCTATGACAATTTTTCTTGATATAAAGCCTTTGAACAAAGCAGACGTAGTTGCACAAGGTGGTCTAAACTTAGAATACTGTACCCCAGGTCAGATTCAGTTTTAAGAAACCGACCAGCAAGAAAGTTTAAAGTTATTTGGTTTGATTTAAGTAAGCTACAGGCTTGTGCCTTAATTTCTCTCTGTGAAGTTTGAAGCTTTGTATCTAAAGTTTGTCAATATTACTTGAATCAAAGTCCAATAATATATCTTTTGGCATAGTGTACCTCCAAAATCAATAGTTAAGTCAAAATTTCTAAAATTTTATGGAATAAATCCGGAAACCAGTGGATAGGATCTGGTGAATTTACATCTAGGGGGCAAAATATCAACCAAAAACTGTTCAAAAAAAGGTGTTAATCGTAAACCTAAATCAAAATGGTTCTTCAAGTTTGAGCGAGTTAAAAACTAATTTGAAATTTCTTCTTTTGTTAAAAAAAAATCAGTAAATCTTTTTGAAATGTTCATGGCTAGGATCCGGATTTCGAATCAGATCTATTTTTTTCTGGGCGGATAAGGGATTTGAATCTGCATCATAATATACTGTCAAAAACCAATGATAATTTATAGCACTGTATTATAACAGCTAATTTAACATCACAGCACAATAGTGAAATTGACCATAAAATGAACATTGGTGATAAAGTACACACAAATTTCATGAAAACACTAAACAGATTAACATGAATTTTTAAACTGATCAGGACATAGATTTTACTTATTTTTTTTTGTTTTGGTTTTAACAAATTTTATCACAAAATTGTATAAATAATCATATGATAGCAGCTTCGCATTTTTCTTCTGCCCTTTATCCTTTATCCATCTATATTAAAAATGTCCTTTCCTTGAAATATATTTATCTATGAATATTTGTTATTTCCATGAAGAATCTTTATCTTTAAATGTCCTATCTAGGCATATGATCGTTCTATGAATGTCCTACCCATGAAATAACTAAATGCAGGGGCCCATATAATTCCATCCAATACGATCCCAAATGTTGATTGATTAAATTAACCATGCTGTTAAGTTATTTCAAACAATTAGAAAACTACTGCAAGTGTTTATTTTCTGTATATCTTAATTTTACTCTTATATTGATTACTGATATTTATATCTTTAACAACCCCAAATGCAGTACACATTTTTGAAGTGTAGTAATCGGACTCAAAGTGTATTTTCATGCCCCTAAATGTACTTTTCACCCCGATCTTATTTTGCATCAGAAATGGAATTATATGGACTCCTGTCTTAATCTACTAATTATCTGTCTATGCAATCTACTATTTATTGAATATCTTTACCTTTGAATAAAGTATCAATTAAATATCTTCATCCATGAATTAAATATCTTCATCCATGAATTAAATATCTTCATCCATCAATTAAATATCTTCATCCATCAATTAAATATCTTCATCCATGAATTTCCTATTATCGATGAAATATTTTTGTATCCTATGAATGTCCTGTCTATGAAATGTATGAAATTACTTGATATTTTACATAAAGAATCTGTTACAGTTTATATGGATAAAGTTAATAAGATATGTGTCCACATAGTAATAAAAAAATATGAAAATTTCACATATTTGTTCCATCATCATTCATCACGGTAAAAATAAAATAGAAATTTTATTAAAATAAAATCCATGTTATATTGATTTTTAGTCCATTGCCATCCCCGCCCCTTGTGATTTGATTTGATTTTGAGTGTTTGTTTTCCAGACTACTGAATTCTAAGATGTTAGTATCTCTTGGAGATCTTCAATGAGAATGGCAGAATTAAAGGTAGGACTTTAATCAGGATGAAAGTACATGCATAAATGCATAAGTTAACCTTTTTAAATTTTTACACATTTTTCTAAAACATTTTAGTGCAAAAATTGAAGTTCATTTTAGAAAAGCGATTTGAAGGACTTCAATTTAATATGAAAATTTTTTAGTTTGTTAATTGTAAAGAGAGAGAGGTAGGTAGTACGTAGTCATGATTTATAAATTACGCTTTTGTGTATTAAATTTTGTATTTCTCTGAACGATGATACAAAAATAGAATCGAAAGTTTATCTAAAATAGAAGTGAAAAAGCAGGATATTTATTTCATACCCTCAAAGAAATGTTGTGAAATTAATCTGTAAAAATATCAAATTAAATATATACCGGTTCATGCAATTATAATGAAAAAAAAAATACTTTAATTAAATAATTATAAAAATCTATTTTCAGGGAAGTCTAAAATTAAGAGAAAAATGTTACTTGGTGACTTGTCTAAATAACAGATTTTTGACACTCTATTTTTTGTTCTTTTTATTTACAGTACTCAGACGCAGGGGCGGATATAAGGATTCTGTAGGGGGG